TTTTATTGTTACTTAAAAGTTGTTTTAGATCACAAATGTATTTACACCGAATTTGAATTTTTTAACTTTTTAGCATTTTAAAGTAAATTAGTTATCCAGTCGCGAAGTGAACTTTCGCAGAGGTGAACAACTTGTGTTTCGCGCGCTCATATGACCTTAGCAGTTGCGAGCGCCGTAAAACCTTATACTATACTATACTAAAAGTCTGTTTGAAGAACAGAACCAAGCTACAGGCGCATTGTAGAGAGGAAAGCTTGCAGTTGGGCCCAGGGTATAAATACCTTGGAAGGGTAATTTGCATGTTTTATTGTTTTTGCCTTAGGCCATTGTACTGCCTTAGCTTCATAAACGGCTCCCCCAGTGTGAGAGCTTTCCTGTAATGCTTACTTACGTGGAGGCTAGCCCCTGATTGAAGAGATTTAAGGCAAAAAGAGCAAAGACATGGAAGAAAACGTAAAATCCCCTACAGAACAGAACATCAGACAGAGACAAGATGTCACTGAAGTTAAATCCACCCTCACACATGACCTACACAATGAAAGATGGAAACTTGTCAGAGCACTGGCGAGTGTGGCAGGAGAGCATTGAACTCTTCATCGATTTGGCAATGAAAAGCCATGAAGAGAAGGAGAAATATAAAGCTGTCTTGTACATAATTGGTGAAGAGGGCCGGAAAATTCACAGTACTTGGACGCTCCCAGAAGCAGATAGGGACAAAATTATGCCACTCCTGAAAAAGTTCAAGGAGTACTGCACCCCAAGGAGCAACATTACCCTGGAGAGGTATCGGTTCAACACCAGGATACAAAAAGCAGAAGAAACTGTAGATCAGTTTGTGGTGGAACTGAGGCTGATGGCCAAGAGTTGTGAATACGGAGTGCTTGAAGAAGATGTGGTACGTGACAGAATAGTGGTTGGAATCTATTCTACAACAATGAAGGAAAGGCTGCTGCGAGAGTCGAATTTCTCATTGCAAACAGCACTAGACCTCTGTTGGGCGGCAGAGCTGTCATCGGTTAATGTAGTCACCAATCAAAGAAATTCATTCACAAGTAAGAAGAAGACTCAGTCAAGCAGTTCAAAGTGCAAGAAATGCCTACTGGAGCATCATCCAAGAAAATGCCCAGCAGTTGGAAAGAAATGCTTGAACTGTGGGAAACTCAACCCCTTTGCTTAAGTGTGCAGAGGAGAGATGAAAAAGAAGAAGCTTCATCAAGTGGGCAAGCAATATGATGAGTCTGATCAAGAAGATGAACTAGAGTTTCAGGTTGGAGAAATAAAAAACACAGACACTTAGAGTGGAAAGTTGTACTTAGTACAGGAGACAAGACCTTCAGAGCAAAGATAGATACAAGTGCACAGGTCAATGTGATGGCAAAATCAGAAGCTGAGCAACTAGGATCTGAGATAAAGGCATGAGAAGTCAGATTGACCTCATATTCGGGTGACAAGATTCCCGTGGAAGGCCAGACCAGTATCAAATGCAAGTACAGAAAGAAAGAAAGACAGATCAAGTTTGTTGTTACGAGCCAGAAAGAGGCACAAACGATCATAGGTCTACAGTCAAGTATGGACTTGAAAATTATAAAAAAGCTGGATGAAGTGTAGCAGAGTAAGTCACTGGAGGCACTGCTTATACAGCGCCGTGATACATTTGGAGATCTTGGAAAAATCAAAACAGAGTATCGGTACACCATGAAAGTCAAGGGGGATGTCGAACCGGTAGTTGCAACTGCCAGGAAAATACCATATGCTCAAAGAGAAAAAGTGAGAGCTGAGTTACGTAGGATGGATAAACTGGGAGTCTTTGTCAAGGAGGACGGACCAACGGACTGGGTAAATCCCATCATCGTAGTGAGCAGACCCAATGGCAAAGTATGAATATATAAGAGATAAGATAAGATAAGATTGTGCTTTATTATCCCAGAGGGAAATTTTGCGTGGCTGTACAGGACCGTAAAAACACATGCAGGTATACATAAAAATTTAAATTATATATATTACTCTCATTAAAATTCAATATGAAAAGAGAAATAAAGCTGACGAAATATGAGGCAGCGTGGTGGAATCAGGCTCTCGTCAAAATAACTTGCATTTTTCAGCCGGTTTGTGAATTTTTATGAAATTTTTTTTTTTTGGCTCAGCACCTTTCATGCCCATTAAAGAACTCATTTCTGTGGGGATTTTTCAGAAAAACGTTCATTAAAGGCACAAAAAAATGTACTTTTTCAGTTACCATGGACTCTTAAGCTAAGGGAATAACCATTTTCTCACTAATTTTACATCTGAAAACAGGTGACCCCCTCCTCCTTCATTCGCAAATATCTTGACTTGTATTCTAGATAAATGGATATTTTTTTCATCCAAATAAAGACAAGTGAAAAACCTTTAAGATGATACCAATAACTCTACATGCCCAAAAATTGACGAGAGCCTGATTCCGCCACGCTGCCTCACAAATGTACAATTACATCAAATGCATTATTCAACCACGTGCAGGAATTATACTAGACCTTTGGAGTTATATATAGATACCTACTCTGAGAGCAACACACATCTATGCTCATTCTGACAAAAGCCTTATGCTAGATGTTAAAAACTTTTATTATATCTTTCTTTCTTTGTTTTTGGAGGTACGTATCTGCCGCTGCATGATATTACAATTTGTGTGGAAAAGGGGTGTGATGGGTCGTTTTATAATGCTTTTTATCTTTTTTATACTTGTGGTGTTATACATTTCATCCATTCTATTAAAATCATATCCTGAGATCTTGCTGGCTTTCTTAATGGTCCTGTCAAATTTTTCTTTATCTTTCATCTTACAATTCCCACCCCAGTAGCAAATACAAAATAATAGCACACTTTCAATCATAGAATGGTAAAAAAGAGACATATAATCTTCTATTATCTATTTGCGGTGGCCAAATTTTGCTATTCAAAAGGCTTTTTAATGGCTGCATCGATCGACTTGCGCTTTTTGCCAAAAGATTCTTAAAAATATTCTCCAGAGCATGGCGCCCTTCGTTTTTTCAGTTTAGAGACAGTTTTGCTGCAAAAAGCTAAATTTCTTTATTTCGCCGATCGCTTTTGTAGGCCGACGCTTCTGTCTTTGTAATTTTAGAAAATCCAGAAGTGATATTTCGCGAGGCGCATTTTGTTTTGAGAGTATAGATCTAGACCTTATAATTTTTTGCGTCTCTCAAGATTTATCGCCCCATTCCAGTAGAGTGTAAATATAGTAGGCCAATGAATTTTAGTTGATATTAAAGTATTGATCGTTCCTTTCATCGCAAGGGGGCCCAGCTTGTATTGTCAACACGGAAACTTCTTAACTTCCTTAAAAGAAACATTCTTTGATTTACTTTTTTATGCACAGGAGCAGCGTGGGGATGCCAGTCAAGTTTGTTGTCGATAGTTACACCTAGATACTTGTAAGAGCTTACCACCTCCACCTCTTCATCTTTAATAAATAGTGGTTGCAATTGGTCTTTTTTTACCCTAAAGTCTATTGTTAATTCCTTTGTCTTTTTTACATTAGTAAAAGGAAGTGGTTATCACACCAATTTGTAAATAGATTTACAGCCTCCCTGTATTCATTCTCATTTGTTGTTATAAGGCTTGTAGAGTGGAATCATCCGCAAATTTTATTAGTTTGATGTTTTTGTTATCAAAAGTACAGTCGTTGGTGTAGAGCGTAAACAAGACAGGGGAGATTACACAGCCTTAGGGCGCACCGGTGTTCGTGAATATTAGGTTGGATTTTACAACATTTAATTTTACATATTGTGGTCGATTGGTTAAGAACTCAAGAATCCAAGCTTGTTCTTCAGGATGCGATTGACATGTGTGTTACAGTTACTGTCTAAATTTGATTGTGTTATCAAAGTAGCTGGTAGCCTCGTTTTTTAGAATCCTTGTTTGCTACTTTCTATCAATGTTGTGTTGTTTGTTGTTTGACCTATGTAGAGTTGATCCTGTTCCTTCTAAGAAAGGGGGATGTTGAGGATTTATTTATTTTGTGGAGAAGTTCAGTACATAAAGTGCGATGCGTTGTAAAGATAGGTCTGTTCTGTTAGCTCTATCATTGTGTTCCTATTTTCACGTTGATACAAACGTAACAGCATTGAGTCTCTGAGTTACGCTCTGGATTTTGATCTAGATCTAGTTCCAGAAAATACATAATCCTTCATATCAATTTAAGACAGCAAAATGTTGGTATATTTTTAGTTTTAGACCCGCATGCAGATGCACGGTTTTAATTTTGTGGGCTGAATTTATGTAATTTTTGCTGCAGAGCAGTGTCTGAGAACACAGAAATCTTCAGATTCTTTGAGAATGCACTCGTCAGGTCTAAACTTCCTGAACTTCTTTCATAGTGTTGTGAAATTTCTGTCAAGTTGTGAAGAAATCGAAGAGACTGGTTGTTTTTTTTTTGATAAGTGTTTTACGGCACTCGCTACTGCATAAAGTCATATGAGCGCGCGGGACACATGATTAAGCTTTTTCAGTGTAGTGGGAATTAATTTTCAAATTTTGCCTGGGCGTGCGGGACACAATAATCATTTTCAGTTTGGCTGGGAGTTTTTGAATTTTGCCGGGGTGGCAACCAAAGCCTACTCTCATCGATTTTGGACCTCCAACAAGGGATCTTTAATATGCACAACTTGCGCTTGGTACCTTCAAGATTGTTCGCCCTTAGCCGAGAGGTTGGGCAAAATGGGGGGAGGGAGCAAAAAGTGGAGACCATGGTCAGAGAGCAGTGAAGGAGGTGAAAGGAGAAATCTTTTACAGAAGAAAATTTTCCGTCACTGTTAGGTTTCGAACCTGAGACCTATTGATGGAGAGGCGAACACTGTAAACTGTAAACCATGAGAGCCCTTGGAAGATACTGATGTCACCGCTCTTTTGAAATTTGAAAGTGCTGACTCTGTTTGTCTGCTTTGGGTACAATTTTTGTGGATGTAGCTTAATCTTTACAATGTTCTTTTTTATCCCTCCAGGAAGGCAGCGAGACACTGGGCCATCTGGCATGTCAAATACCTCTTCATTATGACAGACTTGTCGCTAAGATGTGCCACTTCATCTTTAACTTCTGTGTCCAGAAAAATGTAAGTCCTGGACTTTGTGTCTCTGTTATTTTCTTCATTGTTTTAATTACACCTTTTCAAATTCATGATAAACCAATTTTTTGCTCCCTTCCCCCCGACTGTCTCATAATTCAGTTAATTTACTGGACTCAGATTTTGTTTTGTCCAGTCCTCATCAACATTGTGTATTGTTTTGGCACTTTTGTACTTGTCTAATAAAAAATTCTGTGCAGACAAATACAGTTCTGGTTTCTATTTATGGTCTTTTATCAAGAACGATTTGTTCATGTTGAACAATTCTTTCTCTCCTCAGGTTGTTTTGACCACCCCTGACCTGCAGGTACTGCTCAGGTTTTTGACCGACGGGCTCCAGCGATGTCCGGAGTTCATCCATGTGGACTTGCTGAGTGCTCTGTTTGCTGTTTGTGAGGGGAATACTCATCGCATCCAGGTGACTGCTTCTCTCTGCTCCACATTCTTTTAAAGCAGCACTTATTTCTGTTTGTTTAGAGAATGTGTAATGATCAGGGAGTGTTTGTGGTTTTTCTTTTTAAATGATAAAGTGGTGCAGTAGAAGTGTTTACAGACTTGGATAGTCGCATTTGTACATATCTGTGTAAAAGATCAGAATGCTGCCCCTGTCAGAACTCTTGATATACCCTCATCTCCTACCTTCTAGAAAACAAAATGGCTGACATTAATGCACCAATCATTCCTTTCGTTGAAAGGGGACCCAGCTAGTACATTCTAATTGTGTCGGCATTAACATAAATTAAGTCATTGCCTAACAATCCCATAATTTCATTTCCTATAATATTTAAGTTGTTTATCTAAAGACTGCTCTTAGTGGGCAATTTTGTCTCATTGTCTTCTTAAATGTCATAGATTTTAATTGAATAATGATTTTTTGGAAATTGGACAAGTTATATTAATTTACAAAACAAAGCCTTTAATCTTAGAGTTACAGTTCAGTTTGCTGTGTTTGATGATTTACTGAAATTCAGCGCTTTCTCCGTACTGGATGATTTATTTGAAATGTTTTGTTCTAAATTGTTTCGATGCCACGTGTAAAAACACTTTTTGGTTTATTTTTGTTTTCTTCTTTATAGAAATTCCATGACACTTTGGTAGGCGGTCAAGGTTTACTGCTGCAGCTGACAGACGACACCACAAGGGAGGAGGAGGTGGTAGTGGAAGCAGTGCGCTGTTTGGCCGTGTTCACCTGTATCAAGTAAGAGAGAGAATGGAAACGTTTTTCTATCTGTAGAGAACGAATATTTTAATGAATGTTTCTAGTTACTCACCTTTCAATTTTGTTATGACCGTTCGTGAATTTGTATTGCTTTGTATATTTTTAGTAAATGCATTTCCAACCTGACTGTGAGACTGCTTTTCTCATAGAAATTTTAGCACATATACATAGATATTATTTATATATAGCATAATACTGTGTTTTTCGTACACGCATGTCTATTAATTTTTAAGATATGTCTTTTTCGATGTAATGCGCTTTAAGCATTTTTTTTAGAAAATGGAAATACGCAGCATAAATGCTATTTATTATTATTATAGAACCCTGATTAACTTTAAAGAAATTACTTTGAAACTTAAGGTATAAAGAAATTGCAGTAGATAATGTGTTTAAATTTTTAGTTATTGTAACTTACCCCCTCTTGTGTTTTTAAGAATATTGTAATGACCCTGTCCAAGATGGCCACCTGTTTATGACTATCACTTCCTTCTCAACAGTGTGTGATGTCTTGGGCAATTTTGACTCTGCTTTTGTTTTTATGCTTGTAATAAGTTTTTGCTTCTCAAATTTTATTGAAGTTAGTTTAATGGCTTGTGTAAATCTGTATTTGAGCTTTTTTAAAACTCTTTCTGTATCAAGCCATGATGTATCATCAGTATGGTATCATCTCCACTGCAAACACCCTTTTTGCAATGAAAATTCTTTTTCTTTGACTCCATATTCTTGTGATGTATTCTTTTGTCTCCATTTTGATTTTTAGCATGTTTTATCTGTTTGGTCTTTCCCAACTCTATCTTAAACCCATCACATACTCAAAAGATGCACTTAATTCCCTGAGTAGAAGAGAACAAGTCACGATCTTTCGCCTGCGAACACAACACATCCCACTAAATTCCTACCTTAATAGGATCCGCAAGGATACCCCACCCGACTGCCCGTTGTGCGACTGCCAGGATGAAACAGTAACACACCACCTCTTTAACTGCCCTGCACTTTGCGACCTGCGTAGCACCTACCTACCTGCCTCCCCAAACATCGGAAATACTCTATACAGCGACAAAGCACAGCTGATTAAAACCTGTAAATTCTTTGCCATATCGACAGACCAAAGGGCTAAAACCCAAATGGCCGCTGGATAGGAAAAGTAAAAGTAAAGTAAAGTAACCCTTCACATTTACGATACACTTTTCTGGTGCAGTTGTAGAAACTACTTTGACCTGTGATTTTTTTCATTTTAAGCTGATTTTGTTCAACCCCCTAAGGGTCGACAGCCTATTTAATCGGCTATGGGTTTCGTTCTACAGTGTCTGGGCTGATTTGAGTGGCTTTAAAAATTTGTTTTTCCCAATTGAACTCCTTCATTAATGAGATCTACTTCCTATTTACAAAAGGTATTAGTTTATGGCATTTACTTGCTTGCTTTGCCTGTTCTCAAGCATCTTCCAACATAATATGTTGAAGTCATAGAATATCCTATGACACTACAGGCTATCTTAACAACACTTGGAGGGTTAAGACATTCTGGCAGCTGAGCTAGCCATTTTGCAATCTCACATAAGTTATGGTTTCTTCATATTTTGATATCTTTGAAAATTTAACCTTTTGAACCTTTTGACATATTTTTCAGGCCCAACAATGCTGAATGCATCGAGGTTCGATATTTGTCTGCCAGTTTTGACACTCTAGTTCATCTGTTGCACAGAGCCCCACACTTGACGAAAATGTCACCGTCCCTCCGCAACAAAGTGAGTCTGCTTTCTGAAAGACGAATGAGCATTATGAATATTTTGAGCCTGAGGAATTACTTTTGATATTACATGGGTATTAAGTTATGTTTGTTTGTTTTGGTAAGTGTTTTATGGCGCTCGCAACAGCACAAGGTCATATGAGTGCACGGGACACATTAAACTTTTTCAGTTGGTAGGAAATTTTGAATTTTGCTCGGGGTTGTGGCCGAAGCCTACTCTTATTGAATTTAGACCACCAAGGGATTTTGAAGTTCACAACTTGCACACGGGCCCTCCTGGATTTTTCGCCCTTCTCCAAGAAGGCTAGGTGTAGATCTTTCCTTTGAGAAGATCAGGGGTGTGGCAAAAAGACAACAGTAAGAAGGAGCCAAGGAGTAGCAGTAGAAAGGCTGCAGAAAGAATCAGGAACCCAGAGGAGGGGGTAAAGGAGGTGAGGGGATTGGGGCAGAAAGAGGAGATGAAAGCAGACGACAGAACATTACTAGAGAGCAGGAAAGGAGACAATTTTAGAGAAGAAAATTTTTCGGCCACTACTCGGATTCGAACCCGGTACCTTTGAATGAGAGGCGAACACCTTAACCTCTAGGCCTCGAGAGCCTGCGGGTATTAAATTAATAGATTTAATTTCTATTTGTTTTTGTGTGAGTTTGTTAATGCTCTATTATATTATCTATTTGTGGTGGCCGAATTTTGCTATTCAAAAGGCTTTTTAATGGCTGCAGCGATCGACATGCGGTTTTCGCCCAAAGATTCTTTAAAATATTCTCAGATCATGACGCCCTTCGTTTTTTCAGTTTTGAAACAGTTTTGCTGCAAAAAGCTAAATTTCTTTATTTCGCCGATCACTTTTTTTGTAGGCCGACGCTTTTGCGTTCACTGACCTTGCGCACAGTTTTGAGAGTATAGATCTAAACCTTCTAATTTTTGCATCTCTCAAGATTTATTGCTCCATTCCAGTAGAATGTTAATGTCATAAGCCAATGACTTTCGGCTGACATTAATGCACCAATCATTCCTTTCATAGAAAGGGGACCCAGCTAGTACATTCTAATTGTGTCGGCATTAACATAAATTAAATCATTTCCTAACAATCCCATAATCTCATTTCCTATAATATTTAAGTTGTTTATCTAAAGACTGCTCTTAGTGGATCTTAGATGATGAGTTTTATGGTTGCTTTTTTGGGGGGTGGAGGGAGGGAGGGGGTTGTTGATGTTGTTTTAACAAGCTATGTCTATGAGATTTATAAGATTGCTTATATTAGCATAATAAACTTAAGACATATTTCACAAGTACATCTGGAGTAGTTCTCTCAGCCTCTGTGCCACATGCTATTCTATGACTGAAAGAGTGTGCTGTTGTCATGATTAAACTCATGTTGTGTGGTGTATTTGCTTCCAGTTGCTGACTCATTGCTTCAGCGGAATTCAGAACATTATGATGTTGAAGCGACTTCCTAACATTGAGCTCGGCACTTTGTTTGCTGCAGTTAGGGTAAGTGAATAATGAATGACGATTTCTCCTTCTTTTTGCTTCTGGAAATGTCAGCCCTTGATAGATCATGAGGCATAGAGCTTTTTGCACTTGATTTCTATCGATTTCTTTCACTTGGAGATCTATAAAGTTTGTGTTATCTTTCTCACGAAAAACAGTTTTTGAAATATGTGTTCATTGTAGTCAACTGTGTTCTTTGTGTTAGAAAGAAAATCACCTATGGGCAATGTTTGACACAGTGTCACTTTCAGGATACTTTAGTTCGTGAGCGCACTTGCTGTGAAGTCAGCGTGACCCTGGGGTCAGAGTCCGGGCAACACGCTGCGAGTTGAGCGTTGCGTTGAGACTGAATTTTCTAGTTTTACACCATGCTCGTATATGACAAATACATTGTACCGTAAAATCTAGGAACTCTGTCCTCCTTGTATGGAAAGATCTAACTTTATATGTTTATGCCTCGAAGCTTTGCAGTTGATAGCAGCAGTAGTTTTTACACAACTAAGCGTGGAAGACAGGAGAAATCTTATAGCTGTGTGTGACATAACCGACATTTAAAAAGTCATCTATTGTAAAATGTGAGTTTCAGATGAGGCTGATTTTTTGCTCAGTGAAAGAGAACACATGAAAAAATGTACTCACCAAATGGGGTCAACGGAGCAGGAAAAATAATCCGATAACGAACAAAAATGTCACACTATCACTTTCATCTACTTCCTATCCAGCTCGTTCATTACACTGACAATTAAAATAAATAGAAAGTATATTATTATCTTCAACTATGAGTTGATACCTGAACTATTGTGCAGGATTTTTGCAACTTGATTTAAGAGAGACGGTGTTTGCTCGCAGAGATGGTGCAATTTGCAGGAGCTGTATTCATAATAAATTTCGTTCTCTGCAAGCTGTCCCCGATGCCTCGTGCTCGGGTCTCAAGTTTTGCTGCTACAGTTTGGTGGATGGTTTCTGTGCCCTGCTATCCTAACAAACCTGAGCCATAGCCATGTTGTTTGATGAATAGGATGCAATGATGCTCAAGAAAATGTTGTTTTGGAATGGTTTTGTTTGGAAAGTGTCTTCTCTACAGAACCATGTAATAGTCAATTTTTTTCTAGAGCAAATCTTTCTCAATTGGTAGGGTATGTGAAATTGCTTCATGAACCTGGCTGAAAGCATGGTTGAGAGAATTAAATATGTTTGCCATGACGTGAGCTTCATCTGTTATAAAAGGATCTCGGGTGCAGGCTTGTGTCTATGAAATTATTGTTTGTGTCAGTTGCCTGCAAACTTTTGACTCTAAGGACTTATGACAGTGATTACCAACAAAGGACCGATTGTGGTATACTCGAGGTGTGATTCTATTTTGTTTCAGGATTTCATATAGACTTGATGCAATTGACCCTGCGCGTGGCTCGAGAGGCTGGCAGGAAATCAGGGACAACGAGTGTTTTAGCTCTTGAGCTTCTTTCTTATACTTTGCTTTGTTCTCAGCACTGTCACTCAGTACACGGCAAGTCTTACCATGTGACAGTTTTTGCTCCACATCACCAGCCCTCTCCCATTGCTATCCAAAAATTTTTATCTTTTGACCCAAATCAGTCAATCTTTCAGTGCTTTGGGAAGCTATTGTTACGTCAAGTTTGTGGGCAGCAATTTCCAGCAGTCTGTGATGTTTAACTACAATCCCAAGTAGAATGTGCACACATCTCTGTGAAAAAGCCTCACATTGTGACTGTATTCTGGACTTTGGCATTAAACACCACAGACAAGGAAATGTGCCCTGAGGACCCGAGAGGCCATACAGTTTGCACAAGAAGTCATAGTTTCTGTTTACAGCAACTTTCAATTTTATTCCTCTCCACGAATGGGACGCAAGAGTAGCAATTTCGTCACATAAACCGTTTTCTACAAATCTGACCAAGTTCTCGCAGCTGTCTTTGATCTCTGATCTCTGCCATGGCGATAACTGCTGTATTGTGCTTTGCATTTGGTTTTGTAGTGTTCACTATTTGAAGTGTCAGCTTAAACAAATTTTTTCCATGATCTCCCCCTATCTTGATCCAAACCTCATCTTCAGGAATATGTCCTGAATGCCTTGTGAGCATGTCTGCTTTTGAGTATGCATCGAGCAAACTTGTTGTAAAAAGGTTTAAATTGTCCACTCTACCATATGTTACTGTATGTCAGTTGTGAATGACCTCTCCTCTACTTTGATAAAATTTGATACAATTTCCCGTGACAATGCACTTACAGAACTTTCATTTTCAAATTGTATCCCCATAATTTTAACATCTTCCCTTGGCATCTTCCCTTGGACACCTCCTTGTCGCCAACTGAGACCTAGAGATTCTTTTATAGCTAATGCCTGTTCTTTAGGAATTTTCACTTTGTTTTTCAAGCCGTCTCTTTTTAATATTTTTTCTCTTCAAGTTGATGGTATTACTTTGAACTCTGAAACAAACTGTGTATCCTCTGCATCTTTCAACTGGTCAGCCACTCATCGTCTCAAACCATTCATTAACTGAGCTCTTTTTTTCTTTGTGGGTGTCCTAGCCTCTGATGAAGTTTTTCTTGGATTTATTATTGATTTCACAGAAAGAGGTTGCCCCCCAGTTTTCAACTTCACAATTCTTTGAAGATCTATGCATGTAAATAATTTTCTTTTGAAGAGGCTGGTTATAACAGCTTCTTCTCTTGCATTTAGTGGCTGGTCTGCTTTCAACATAGGAAATGTGGAGCTGTCGTGTTTGCTAGTTGTACCCTTTTTTTCTGAATCTCTCAACATGGGAGACGTTGTACTGTCTTTTGTAGTTCGTGCAACATTTTTGACTAGTGTTGATGGCGCCTGAGGTGTCATAATTGTCGAGTTACTGCCTATTGAGTCAATGTGGTCTAAAGAAAAGCTTTCAGATGTTCTGTTCTGTCTTAGCGATTTACTTGACTGGATTGGGGTCTCTTCATGTGTGTAAGTTGTGTCTGTGTAAGTAGAGAGGACTGGGGTCTCTTCATATGTGTAAGTTGTGTCTGTGTAAGTAGAGAGGACTGGGGTCTCTTCATGTGTGTAAGTTGTTGTGTCTGTGTTAGGAGAGAGGACTGGGGTCTCTTCATGTGTGTAAGTTGTGTCTTTTGTTGTAGCGAGGACTGGGGTCTCTTCAAGTGGGTTTAGTGGATATGTATTGATTGGAGCAAGAGTGACTATGGCAGAGGTAAAAGAGGAGTCTTCAGTGACAGTTGTCGGGCAGTGTGAAGGAAAAACACGGCGGTTTGCGCAGCCTCTTGACAAAACAACCCTGTGTTGGCACAACTTGCACTGATCAATTCCAACATTCGAGTCAAATGAGCACCATATGTGCTGACTATCGCAAACCTTTTTTTGGTGCAGATTTCATAGTGTTTAAGCTATGCCTTTTTTTTACCATTTTGATAGCAACCACACACTTGCGACAAAATACTTTGAATGGGTATCATCGATATCTTGACTAATGTCAATTCTGTACACAAAGAAAATATCACCCTCAAACCAAACACATAACTTTCGGGTTTTTTGGTCTTTACTTCTTTTTACTGTTATATTTTTGTTCCCACAAGTTCTGCAGAGATCACCGAGAGAAGAAATGTGTTGCTCATAGCTGTGCTCCATGGCTATGTCGGGCCGCTGAGCGTACAGTTAAAATCTGAACTTTACAATACACAAACACATTAATCCGAGCACTGGGTGAGAATGAAAGATGCTCCGCAAACAACAATTGTACTGCATGAAAGCTTAGCTTTTAAGAAAACAATCAGAGCAATCAATCTTGCAATTCAACTATCTTTTTTTGAAATATAATGCACTTTTCAGAACTATTTGATCGTAAATTTCGCGAATTTCAACGTCATAGTAGAATGTTAGAACACAAGCACTGCTGGTCTTAGAATTGCTGCATTTTCAACAACTGCAGGAGCAAGACTGAAGCTTTGTCTTGTTTAAGCGCGGGTTAGAGTAGAAAAGATTTTGATCAGGAATTTTCTAGACGAGTATTCTCCAATGTGTTATTCTTCTGACTTTGATCCGGATCCGCGACCAGATGATCAGGCCCAGTTCAAACTGCCGTGAGTTACCGTGGTTTCCCCCCCATTATCGGACGTCCTGGGGTGAAAAGTTTACGGCTCTCGCCATGCCAAGCTCATAACTAAGATACCGGGTAGCTGATATTAGGCAAAATGTGACACCGTGTAGAACAAATTTTTGGGGGAAGAGAATTAAAGGGGTGCTTTATTTCTTTTCCGTTGTTAGAATAAAGGTCTCCTCCACAGCTATGTAGAAGTTGTGCACTTTGGGGGGGCTCTCGTGGCCTAGAGGTTAAAGTTCGAATTCGGATAGTGACGGGAAAATTTTCTTTTCTAAAAATGTTTTCCTTTCTCCTCCTTTCCTGCTCTCTAGCAATGTTCTGTTGTCTGCTTTCATCTCCACTTTCTGCCCCCACCTCCTCACCTCCTTTGCCCCCTCCTCTGGGCCCCTGACTCTTTCTGTAGCCTTTCTACTGCTTCTCTTTGGCCGCTTCTTACTGCTGTCTTTCAGCCACACCTTTGATCATCTGGTAGGAAAAATATACACCTAGCCTTCTCGGACAAGGGCGATAAATCTTAGAGGTCCTGTGTGTAAGTTGCGCACGTTAAAGATCCCTTGGTGGTCTAAAATCGATAAGAGTAGGCTTCGGCCGCCACCGAGCAAAATTCAAGATTTCCTACCTACTGAAAAAGTTTAATGTGTCCCGCGCACTCATATGACCTCATGCAGTTGCGAGCATCGTAAAACACATACCAAAAAAAAAAAAAAAGAAGTTGTGCACTTTGTTTATTTTGTTGATGTGTCAGAGCTTACTTGCCTGGCTTTATAAAGAATATATTTCATTTTCTGGAGTTTGATAGATGTATGTTATGGTCTGCTCCTTCTTTGTCTTTTCAGTTTTTCTGTTGTTCCTGTCGATTCCTAGAAAAATACACAGGTGTCATCATGCTGACTGATTTTAAATTGTGCCGCGCTTTGACAAATTCACTAATTCACTTTAGTTTTAGTAAAAGTTTTACGGCTCTCGCAACACAAATAGGGCATAGGAGAGGGAGCAGAATTAAGCACTATAGAGGTTTGACAGGAGAGAAGGAGCAAACCACACCAGAGCACCTGCCAACCACCACCCACCGAATCACTTTATGTATCTTAGCTGTTAATCTTTTTAACTCAGGAAATCACCAGAATTTCTGTATACACCTCGGGACCTCATTGCTTTCTTGTCGTATCTCCATTTTTTTAAACCTTGAAAATGTGATTTCTTCTTAAGCTCATTCTTTGTTCTAAACTGTTTTCACTGTTTAAAAATGGAGATACGACAAGAAAGCAATGAGGTCATGACCTGTGTTCACACTGACATCTGTATATCTGCACTTTAGGCCTACATGTTCTACGGGATGACCAGCCAGTCTGTGAACATCCCAGCCCAGCTGTATCCCAATGTGGTTACCCCCTTTGATCCCTTGGCCTCCACCAAAGTTACGAAGTCTGCCACAGGACAGAGAAGTTCAACAACTGCTGATTCTGATGAGGTAATAACTGGCGGCAGATGCTTTTACATTTGTTCTTCTTTGTGTTGACTTTACCCTCTTAGCACCATAAGTAGGTCAGCAGGTCTGCATAGCAGAACCAAAATGGTGGCCAGCTGGTGGCTTCCCAGAACCGAATTTTTCAGTGTTTTTCATAGGTTAAGGGTATGTAGCAAAGAAATTGCTTTTACTTTTGATCAAAGCAACGTATTATGAAATTTCTCATACAAAGACCTGTGACGTCAGCCTCTAGATTAAGAGTGGAATGTGTGAGGCTGGTAAAAGTCGTATGGCTCTACAGCGGGAAAGCCTGTAAAAGCCGGTATGGCAACATGACGGGAAAGCCGGTTTAGTTGGGCATGGCTTAAAAAGAAAAGGGTTAACCTTGTTAACCCCTCAGTGATGACCAGTTAGGACCATGGCAGCCGCCAGTGTTGTGAATTAGAATTCTTAACAAGTAAATTAATGTGATTCCTATAGCATCTTTAAAAGATGATTTATAGTTTCTGGTCCCAGTTTCTACTTCTTACTTTTGTTCACAGGTTTGGTCAGAGCGAGGCGGAGGGAAAGGAGGGGATGCTGCCATTAAGAACAAGGGCAGAAATAAGAAGCCAAGAAGAAAGAAAGGTAAAGGAGGCGGCAATGAGGAGGAAGCTGGGGCCACAGGAGGCCAGAGGGAGGAGAGGAACGATAGTTTGACCTCTCAGAGAAATGGAGGGACGCAGAAGACTGGGCCTGCTTCAGGTATGGCAAATCCCAATTCTTTTGTTTGATTGATGGAAAATATCAAAGGCATTAAAAAAAAAAAGAAATTTGTGCGCATACTGTGCTAAAAGAAGTAAGATTTTTATCAAAACTAGAATAGGCCCTTGTCGGCTAAGGAAGGGCATTGAGGCTGTGTCAGAGACAAAGAAATTGCTACAAAGTTGATTAATAATTATTGTCATCTGCATGAGTCAAGATTGTTCAGTCGTTTGTGTTCACTGAAGAAGAAAAGCTGGAGGAAATTGACAGTGTAAATTGATTTGATCATATTTGAGAATATTGTGGTCAGAGGTTTTTAGGTTACCTGTCCTGGGCAACAACGTCATTGCACACCGGATAGGTCCATAAGTGCTCAGTTCCTCTCAGCTCCAAAGCCTGCAAGGTGTCCATACTGATTGTTCCAGTGGCTGTTTGATTATGGCGACGTCTTTCCTTTCCAGATAATCGTTCCTTTCTTCTTCTCCCCTTTCTATCCCCATTTCCCACATCCTGATGATCGTGTGGGTTTCTGCTGTCTCCCTGTCTTCCTCTTCCCGCAATTTTTCCTCCAGGGTCTTCAACACTTCTCCTTTGTCAAATTTCACCTCAACATCAACCACGGCATTGCCCGCCAACGTATCGGCCTCCTCATTACACTTCACTCCAGAGTACCCAGGAGAGAATATCCATGTAATGGCTATAAGTAATGAGTGTTGTATTGGGTTCATCCATTCACTCCAAAGCAGCTTTTTCTCAACCCTTTGCAGGACGCTCTGGGAGTCTGTGACAGTAATGAGATAGACAGTTTTTGGTCTTGTATTTTGAAGCCAGCCAAGCGCTCTTGTTACAGCCTCAATCTCCATTTTCATGCTTGAAGTTTTTCTTTCTATGGTCCCTGGCATGCTATGAACCTGTTTGCTCCCGCTGTACACCACAAAACCCCACCCACTTCTCTCACCCCTCCTGACCGATCCAACCGTGTAGATCACTGGGTCCTCTGGCTTGGAGTGCTCCTCAATTAATTGTCGTATGTCATTGTCGTTAATAACGGCTGCACATTCCCGTCTTTCACGACCCATAGTGATGTGGACGTTGGCCAGGCTTCTGCAATCAGGGCTCAGTTCAAACCATTCCTTTCCACTTCATATTTCATCGATGCCACAAACTTTCCTCATGGAGTCTTCGGCTTCTGCCATCCATGAGCTGCCCCTTTTGATCCTATTTCCTTTGATGCTGCTTAGGTTTTCATGCAAAGGGTGCCTCGGATGTCCCAAAACATTCAAGTACAGCTTTGCCACCTTATGCCTCACTCTGATGCTGGCCGGATCAAGGATGTATCTCATACAGCCAACATGGGTGTCCTTTGTGCAACCCAAGACTGCCCTCATAGCTGCATTCTGCACTCTCTCCAACCTGTCTATCTTGAGTCTTGGACAGGGAGAGGATGCTCAGACTATAGTCTAGGTTTCTTTTTTTGTAAATTGGAGTCTTACACTTAGCGGTTGAATTGTTTTTTCGTCTTTTTTTTACCCAGACATCCCTAGTTCATACGGCGCTGCCTGGAGCGACGTGACCCCAGAGACGGAGGCCATGAGCTGGGAGATGACCTACTTAAAGCTGTCCAGCTCAGACTCGGAGTTCTCCGACACAGAAGGGGGGCGGGCTCGTCAGCAGAAGTCAGAGTCAGTGCGAGTTCGTCAGTGTGCGCTCAACTGTTTCCTGAATATCGTCAGGGTGAGGCTTCCATATTATGTCGCAACTTTCCTGTAAACACCTTTATGTTAATAAATAAAGTGTTTTCATTTGAATGCAGTCCTGAGGAAATATCTGTATGCTTATATGTCAGTGCACTGGACCGCTTGTTTTCACACTTGCACTTGAAAAACTGCTAGTGGATGTATGTGTATATTTATAAAGGTACTGTCTCTATCCTCTTCCTGTTTTTTCCTTCTTTACCCAAGTTACTGTCTCTAGCTAGTAATCTTATATTCTTTATGTCTTGTTTCTTTTCTACAATCCCTGCTCCAAGTGTTTACTTCAGCTTTGTTTTCATCTTCTTTCTTTTTCCAAGTTCCCTCGTGGGCGGTTAGAGGGTTCCCCCTGTAGGTCCTTCTTTCTTACTTTCCCTCTGTACTTTCTGTCCGTCTGTCTTACTTTTTCCAAGCACTAAATGACCATTATTGTGTCAGTGTACTCCTCTTTACTCAAACTCAAACCAGTTTTCAACTTTATTCAGAAGGCCAACTGAGCCATCTTCAACGAATGAGGTTTCTACGGGAAAAACGGGTATAGTCACGAATTACAAATTGTGAGGGTGTCAATTTTAAAAGCTTGTGGACTCATAATTTCATATTTGTTTCATTGGTGGATTATTGTTATGTTTGTTGAATGGGAAATCAAACAACAATAATCGACCAAAACTTGATCAGAAATACAGTTTTGAGTCAACTTACTTTACTTTACCTTGTTATATAGTGAGCCGAAACCATAGTCCCCTGAACATCCATGTCAATAGTAAACAACTGAAACAGGTGAAAGAGTTTAAATACCTTGGCAGCACTTTTTCTGAAAACCGGTCCTTAGACAGAGAAATAGAAATGCGAACTCAAAAAGCCAACGCTGTCACATACCAGCTCGCACCCCTTCTATCTCATCCAAACATCTCCATGGACACAAAGAGACAGCTTATCACCTCAATATTCATACCAACATTATGTTATCAGTGCCAGACCTGGACCTTAAGCAAAACCCATGAAAGCAAAATCACCGCATGCGAAATGAAATGTCTCCGCAAAACCCTTAACATCACAAGACGAGACAGGCAGAGAAATGAAAAAGTAAGAGCAGCTATCGGCACTGAGTCCTGCCTGCATTACATAGAAAGACAGAGGATAAAACGGTTTGGCCACCTGTTACGCATGTCACCTGACCAGCCAGCCTTGAGAGCCTACAACACCAAGCACTCAGGCTATAAAGGAAGAGGAAGGCCACGCAAAAGGTGGATCGAGGGTGTCAAGGAAACCCTAAGAAAACATAAAATCACAACTGAAAGAGCTGCTGAGCTGGCCTACCATAGAAAACTGCATCTCCCCTCGACGCTTAACGGCAACAGAGGGTGAAAAAGTAAAAGTAAAGTAAAAATACCTTATCTTCTGCTTATACCCTTTTGGGTGTTTGCTGGAAGAAAGAGACGTCTCTCTGCCACCAGCTAGAGAGCTTGGGTCAGGGAGATGCCATGAGTTGTTAGTGTTTCCCTGACTTTATCTATCCAGGTCTTTTTCGGTCGCCCTCGAGCCTTGTTGCCATTGAATTTTTTTATATAGGCACATTGTGCTGGATGGTGTATTGGTAATCGCATGAGATGTCCGAATCAATAGGTCAACAAGCATTCAAAATTGATACCCTTACGATTTTCAGTTTGTGACTATTCCCGTTTTTTCCCTTGGACTCCTCATATATGTGTTGTGGACTGTTAGATCCAGACTAAGCCAGACTTTTCTTTCCTCTCCAGAGTATAGACAAGAAGGTCATGTTTGGCTACTGGTCGTCCTTCCTGCCTGACCTGGCCGTACACCCGAGCAGCTCGCCCCCAACCCAGTCTCTCTTCACAACCATCCTGAAGGATCCCTCTCCCAAGGCATGTCACGTCCAAACAACAACAATTGTCGTACATTTGTTGTTGGTTTCTTCGTTTTTATTTTATTTTTTTAAAATGATTTTTTATATTTTTTTAGTAGAACTAAGAGTATTATGGCACTTGCAACACAATTGAGAAGTATTAGTGCCGAAGATTCGAGATGTTACAAGAGAATAACAAACACAAAAAAACAACTAACAGAGATAAGGATGATAAATGTTTTGTTGGCAAGAAGGAGCAAACCACACGAGAGCACGTACCAACTACCCATAATGATGATAACAGTAACAACAAAAGGAATAATAATGAAAATGTCTAAGTCTAGCGATATGATGATAGTGATAATTATAAAGCTACAGGTGAAGTTTGTGTAGCCCATTTTTACTGAAAGAGTGCTCGCTGTGCTTTGCAGTAGTACATACATGTCTCTTCTTAATTTCTGTTTAACTCCTCATCTCCGGCTAATCCCCCCCCCCCCCCCCCCCCCCCACACACACACACGCGGCTTGTGGTCGGAACTGCCGTGCTGGTACGTTCCTTGACAAGGAGTTCTACATTGTATTCATTTTTAGCAATTGCTGAAAACAGGTTTCCTTCATGTGGAGTTCTGTCAGTAGATGAAGAACTGTCAAAATAAGTTCATGTCTTTTGATTTGATGACCAAATTAGTTACGTATTGTGATATCAGGGGACCTGACTCTTATTATAATTATTATGGGAGAGTATAATTAAGGGAGTGGAGTGCCTTTGATCATGTGATATTCGAGAGTGCGTAAGAGGCGGGGGACGTCTTACACAGTTAGTTGAGCACAGGACAACGAAAACAACAACATCAGTCCTGGACGTCAGAAAGGGGACCCCCCGAAAGACCAAGACCCATTTGGACCACCATGCAATTTTATTTGGTGTCAGAAGTGGCTACTGAATAGCCAACAACTTCAAGAAAACACCCACAATCAACGAAGTGCTAGAGTTTTATCTATCAAAAACAGCGCACTGAGTCAGTAGTGATCTAGACCAGACAAGAACGAGTTTAAGTTTAGGCAGTGAACTGTTTGAAAACGGGAAGGATTATATAGAGCTAGAAACTAGAAATCTAGACAGAAGTAGATCTAGTAGGCCTTGATTAACTAGATATTTTGAACTATGAACAGTCTTGAATTGGAACTGTGACTTGTTTGTTATCTGAACTGGTTTAAGTAGAGATTCTAGAGACTTTTATTTGAGTAGTCTAGATTCTAGATCTAGTTCCACATCCAGTGGACAGAAATGGCTCAACATAACAGGGAAAACCAGCAGAAGCAATAAACAGCCAACGTACCCTTTCCATCAAAATTAAACATAACAGAAGGCTCAAACCTAGCACAAGGGGGGGAAAAATGTCCTAGAGAAACTGCGGAAATTATGCAATCGCCACCAGATTAAACAAGGAAGAAGAGGATTTCCAATGTGCAGTGTTTCTAGCGACGATTGGAGAAGAAGCTGTAGACATTTTTGAAGGTTTCCACTGCGAGGACGAGGCAGATAAGAAAAATCTCCAAAGCGTCATACAAGCTTTTGGCGACTTTTTCATAGAAAGACACATGAAGCCTACGAGTCATACAAGTTTCACTTGAGGAAACAAAAACAAAACGAAACAATAGAGGCCTACATTGCACAACTTCGTCAGCTCGCCAAGTCCTGCAACTTTGGAGACACACTGTTGCAAGACCGCTTAATTAATTAGAAATCAGGTTGTGATAGGAGTGAGAGAAGAAAGCTTATTAAGTGAAAAGCCGGGGGACGTCTGACACAGTTAGTTGAGCACAGGACAACGAAAACAACAACATCAGTCCTGGACGTCAGAAAGGGGGCCCCCTGAAAGATCAAGACCCATTTGGACCACCAGGAAACTTTACTTTTAGGTTTCATAACAAAAGAGGGATCCTGCACAGTGGAAAAGCGCCTCTGGAGATAAAGACTTTAAAGGTCTCATTGATTTGTTTCTGTGGTTTGAAAGGTCTTGTCCAGTGATCCATGAATTCTAAAGTCTGTGGGGATGAAGGCGAAAAAACAAAATAAATTAAACCTTCCTTGTGCATTTGTCTTTACTGCCTTTATATGTGTGTGTCTCTTTAATGACTACATGTGTGTGTGTGTGTGTGTGTGTGTGTGTGTGTGTGTGTATGTGTGTGTGTGTCTTTACTGACTATGTGTTTGTGTGTGTGTGTATGTGTGCATGGGTGCGCGAGTGCGTGTGTCTTTGCTGACTTATTGTGTGTGTGTGCGTGTGTCTTAACTGACTGTGTGTGTATGAGTGCATTTACCGACTTAGCATGAAATATGTGTGCATGTCTTCACTGACTTTACATGGTTGTGTGTTTACACAGTGTCGCATGGCAGCCCTGGCCAGTCTGACCAGCATGCTGGAGTCGACAAAGAACTTCCTGTCGGTCGCAGAGGACATGTCGTCTCACCAGCCAGCCTTCACCCCGTTCTCCGCCTTGCTTGGGGCCATCATCAAAGAAATGCATCGGTGCTTGCTGCAAGCTCTGGTGGCTGAGAACTTCAAGGCTGTCCTCACTCAAATCATCAAGGTTTGTTGACATCCCTGGCACATAGACAAATTCAAGAGTAAATCATGTCATTGTCACGCTTTTTGGCATGGGTCTACATGTACTTTGAAAGGACCGGATTATTTTGTAGTTTTGATTTCCCTTCTTCTTCTCCTCCTCCTCCTCTTCCTTCTTCTTCTCATCTTCCTCTTCCTCTTTCTCCATCCTTCATGTTATCCTTTTCCTCCTCCTCCTTCTCCTCATACTTTTTCTTCTTCTGGAGCGAGACAACCAAGTTCTTCAACTCATACTACAACTGATGTTATGTTTTTCTTGCTGGAGTACAGTGTTCTGTGCCTCTCTGCCTGCCACATATTTTTTCAAAAGAACTTTGAATTACTTGTTTATTAAATCATGTATTTGGATTGATTTTGATTTTTTTCTCGGGCTGTTGGCTAGGGAAAGGCTTAGGCCTACTGTTATTTGAATTGCCTATCAAGACAATGTGTTTTAAGTGTACTCAATGTGCAAAATGTAAGCTTAATTTACACACAGGGTCTCCAAATGTTTAGTACCTGTGTGAAAATGTTAGATATTACATCCATCTTTCACTATGATGGTATATGTGGTGTTAGAATTGACAAAACTAAAATCTTGGTGTTGACACGACTAAAGCCTTGGTATTGACAAGGGTAAAATATTGGTATTGACAAGTGTTCATTCTTGGTATTGACAAGAATAAATTGTTTGTATTAAATAGATTAAAACTTGGGTATTGACCAGACTAAAACCAAGGTATTGACAAGATTGAGTCTGTGGTATTGACTATACTAAAACCAGAGACCTAGCTACGTAAACGAGACAGTATAGCTTAGGCCAGACCGCGAATCTGACCAATCCCGTGGCCACAGGAACTGCCAAGGTAAACTCAAACAAACATGGCCCATTCTAAGAACACGCACTGTAAGTGGTGTGCAATTAACTGCACTAATTTAAAAAACAGATGACCCGAATTAGCTTTCTATCGTTTTCCTAAAGCCCCAGAAAAGTAAGTCAATGGGTGGTTAAGTAGATAAAGCTTAAATATTTAAAATAGCGTATTATTCAGTGAAAATTTGTTTCAAAACACACACTTTTGTATTCACCATAAATGAAAGCGTGTGTTGTAACTTGTGTTTTAAGTAGATCTGTATCTAGGTCTAGATTCTAGATATAGATAGATCTACTGCAAATCTAGCTTTTAGATCTAGGCTTCATCGCATCTGGAGATAGTTTCTTTGGTTTATCTCTATCTAGATCTAATTCAGTGCTCATCTTCCAGTCTAGATCTAGATTCTTTGGCACTTCTTCTTGTATACAAATGTCTGATTTCATTACAAAGTGAAGTGCTTGGCACAAGTTCACCAAAACAAGCTGAGGAAGGCAGGAATATTTCAACATTTGTAAAACGAAGCAAGTTAGATTTAGCAGTACACTTGCACCAGGAAATAGATATGGTGAGTTGTATAAATCTCTCTTGCTCTTTCTTTCTCTCTCTCCTTCTCTTTTCCTCGTCTTCTTCATTGTTGTTACTGAATGATTTACGAAGCTATTGTATTTGATATGCCCATATTGTCTAGAATTTTAATGTTGTTATTGCCCCTCATAATCGTTATTGTTGTTGTCTCCCTCTCCCTTTCTCCATATTGATGATGTTGCTGATGCTGCTGTTCTTGCTCCTGATGTTGTTGTCGTCATCGTTATTATTATTGTTCTCTCTCCATCTCCCCCCCTCTCTCTCTCTGTCTCTCTCTCTTCTCTTTATTTCTTTATCTCTCTCTCTTTATTTCTTTATTCCGTTTTTTTTTCTTTTTCCACTTTTCTCTAATTCTCCTCGCTCATATACATCCTTCCTAAACAGTCTGTCAAATTGAGGGGTTTACTCTGATGTTCCAAATAAGCCCCTCCCCACCCCACAACCTTATTAAGACCCCCCAAACCCCCCTTATTAATTTTTCGGCTGAGAAAGTTGGAGCAAAAAGATATGCAACAAGTAGTCTATAACCAGGCCCTCCCTTGGATCTCTATAAAAACTTGCAAATTAAAATTCTAAAATTAGATCTCTGTTTGTAATTGATTTATGTTATAATATTCCTTGCAATAAGCATGTGTAAAAAATAAGTACAAGTACCCCCAATGTGTCTGTGAACTGCATCTATTATTAATCGGCAAATGTCCCTCCCCCCCCCCCGTAACGAGCGACCACTTTGAGACAGAGTAGAATAGAGGGTTAGGGTTAGGGTCGGGTTAGGGTTAGATCGAGGTCTCTTCTTTATTCTGTTGTTGGGGTGGTCGCTCGTAACAGAAGTCCTTTCCCCCTTTTATTAGCATCTGGTAAATGTGTCCCCCCCCCCCTCCTTTTATTTGGAACCTCAGAGTACACTTGGTTTTGTTCCCCCACATTAAAACAGTAACAAGTCTAACGCGAGTATGTTTTCCGCCGCAGGCTATTAATAGAACAGCTCTCTTCGCTTATGCTGCGTGTAGCACTGGTTGTTGTGGACGGCGCTGCAAGCTGTACTGTCTCGTCGTTTACATTGCTGCTAGGTCTCTGCTAAAATCCTTGCATTGACAAGAATAAAATTTTAGTATTGACAAGGTAAAACCGTGATTTTTACTTGTTCCTGCCAAGAGTAAAACCATGGTATTCGCGAGACTATAACCCAATTTCAGACGTTTTCTGAGTATGTGGTAAATAGGTTTTTGCTTCTTGTTGTGTTTCTCCTCAGTGCCTGGCGAGCCTGGTAGCCAACGTGCCCTATCACAGACTGCACCCCGGCCTCCTGACACGTGTGCTCAAACAGACACGGCACTTCTTTGCGCATAAAGGTAGACTTCTCTCTTTATTGCACAAGCTCGTGGGTAACAGTTGAGAGTATTTTCTGTGTATGCTAAAGGATTTGTAAGAATCATATGCCTTCATCATTAATGATATTTTCTTTGGGTGGGGTGGGGGGTTCAGTTTAAATTTATGTGGAGTATGTTCATTATCCAACTGCCTCGCTCCCCACAGACCCAAACTTGCGTACGGCAGCGCTGACCTGCATCGGGGCTATCGTCGGCATCAAGCCACCTTTGATGGAAGTGTCCCAGCTCATCAAACCCACACAGCCTCCTGTAGGGGTGACGAAGTCTGCGCTTTCTGGTGACTCTGCCCTCTTTCGGGCAGAGGACGCGGCCTCTCTACTGTACCCGAGTTTCCTGAACCAGACAGGGGCCTCGCTGACGGCAGATCATCAGTCTCAGTCGACCACAGCTCCGAGCTTACCCGGTGGCAACTCTCTCCTGGGTAATCCTCCAAGGTGCGAAGGGGAGACGAACACGCTGCCGAACCAAGTTTCAGACTCTAGCGAGAGTACAGTTGTTGCCGGAGTAGGTTCCGACTCACGAACTGGTGCTGCCGTCTCGGATCTGAGGCAGAGTTTGAACAGGGAGGACGTCGGTTGTGGGGACGGTAAACAACTGTCCTCGTCTGAGGCGGATGCTGCTGGTCTGATGCGAGACCCGTTTAGCTCAGGGGAACCAATGAACCTTTTGTCGAACTCGATGCCGGATGGACACCGGGTGAGGGTAAGTGCTGGATGTAATCTCCTGGCCCCGCGGAAAATTGCATTTTTGAAATAGAAAAATTGCAAAAAATTGCAAGGTACACTGCCTTAAAATTGCAAAAAATTGCAACCTTCCCATCTCAGGCGCATAAATATGGGATAACATTTTTCGTTTAAAAAACATGACAATTTGAGTACCGGTAGCATAAAAGCAGAACAGCCTTTTAAAAAATCATGACCCACAATACAAATTTTATTAACAACATTTACTAGTAGTAACAGCACACGAGTACGTTAACAATAAAGTTATCGACCAACTATAATATAATACAGTGTGACCCAAAATAACGGAACCCTCGGTTTTCGTAATAACTTTTAAATGAAGGCTTAACTCTTATCCTGCGTCTGTGCCCAGATGCGTATCTTATCAGCAACCAATTACGTCGGACGTGCCGGGCAGGCCGCCGGGGTCACTCAGTGTGTACTGTTGGTGTACAGCGCGCGCGCCGGGAAATGTGTGTTTTCGCCATGAATACCGCGGGAGTGTGTTAACCGATGATGAAAATAACGCTCTATCTTTCATAGCTTTCTATTTATAAAGTGTTACAAACACATGAATAACACCCTCTCACAAGCTGATAAGACATTACAAGTAGTTACGCCCATTTGAATAACCTTTCTGGACGCTTTTGTTGTTATGAATGACCTGAGGTTCGAAAGGGGATAATTTAGGTCAATTTCCGATGTTTTATGCTCAAATTGTTCTTTGTACCTGCACAATGGTATTCAAACTATCAAGCAAGCTTATTTTTTATCAGGTAGTATCATTTCATACAAAATCAAGCTCATTTGAAATATTTTGTATAGAAAAATGGAAGTCTTGTTTCCTGACTATCCTTTCGAGCTCTTCATGTCTAAGTGGGTCAATTTCTTCTATAATTTCATTGGACGAACATCTAGAGCTACCAACTTGGCATGTTTTGAATGAGATGTATGCCTCGATTACGAACCAACGCAGGCGGTTCTAGAAGAAGGCCACAAACGCACACAAACTCAAGCAGACTGACGCACACACACTTGATCTGCGTGAATGGGGATCTGACTCGGGTCCCGAATGACACGTAAGAGGATGCGCGCTGCGCGTGCGCTGAGCCAGGGGCTACACTGATTCGGGACCAAAACGTAGGCGAGGTGCCGAAATAGGCTTATCGGGCGACATAAACCCGGCTCCCGCAGGATGAGGGTTAAGATTTTACCAAATTTAGCTACTGGGTACTTGGTTCATGCAAAGATCTAGAAGTGTTGTATGAGGTTTAGCCTATAAAAAAAAATGATGGGAGATTCGAACAACCTCTAAATGCAAAATTAGCTTATGCCCCAATCAATTAAGATCCTATTCTATTTTTCTCTTGATACTTTCGATACACCGGTAATCTGTATTTAGATCTATTTCAGATATTTTCTTTTTTAAAACCAGTATGGTATTGTTTTAACTCTAAGTCAAATCGTAAAATACAGCAATTTTTTTTCTCCATTTAATAGTAATATTAGTTATAATAATGTAGAACATTTCTATAGCGACCACTCCCGTGTGAACGCAGCTTAAGGCGTTTTACATTTATAAAGGGAGTGCTGTCTACGTACATGGTAACCAGGCACCTAGCCTCAGTGTCTACGTACACGGTAACCGGCAACCGGGAACGAAGTCTTATTGTCGTCACGTACATGGTAACCGGACAGTTAAGAACTCCAAGTTCAGTTTTTGTCATCCAGTGTTTCCTTCAACCCCAGCCGTCTCCCGACTGTACCTTTAAAAAAAAAATCAATAATCCCCCCTCTCCGGAGCCCTATACTTCGCAGCGCACAGACTTTGAATGAACTTTGGTGACCCCAACCGGTACTCACAATGTGATGCGAGAGCACAGGTTCACTGACCGGTCACGATGGCGAGCCCGACAAGATGGTTGTACATGTACATGTATGACTTTCTTTTTTTTTTTCAACAAGTGACAGCACAGGACGAATATTGATTTATTTTCATTCCGGTTACCGTGTATGTAGATACTGAGACTAGGTGCCCGGTTACCGTGCATGTAGACACGTGCATCATGTACAATTACGAACAATATTTACGCGTGCGCGCACACACACACACGTACACCGTACACGCGCACACACATGCACACAACGCACACGCACACACCTACTTTCTGATCACACGCGCACGCTTACACTTACACACATTAGATCTCTATGTCTCAGTTTGTGTTGTACATGATGTATTCCGACCTGAATTTCCGGTTATAGCTTTCAGAGTACGCCCAGTAGACTAGAGCTGGGCTGAAACCATGATTTACGTAGGCCCATCGGCTCTGTACTAGCACCATTTCGAATTAACAATTCTGTTAAAATTAAAGCGTTGATGTTATTTTCCCTAAAATTGCAAGAAATTGCGAAAATTGCAAAAAATTTCGGCTTTATTGCGGAACTCGAGACCGCGATTTCCTGGGGGACCAGTGTAATGATGGACCTGTAGCCTACTGTATTTGATGTTTTGCTCCCGAAAAATTACAAAGTTCTATCTGACATTTTTAGACGTTTAGAGTTACTATGACCATGAGGTCAGGAACCCTCTCACAACCTCAAGCCTGTTCTGGACTCTCTCTTTTTCTTTTTCTGTCTCTCCCTCTCCCCTTTCCCCCCTTTCTCTCTGTCTCTCTGTCTCTGTCTCTCTCTCTCTCTCTCTCTCTCTCTCTCTCTCTCTGTCTCTCTCTCTCACTCTCTCTTTTTCTCTCTCTCTCTCTCTCTCTCTCCTTCTCCCTTTTCTCCTCTCTTTCCGTCTCATGCTTCCTCTCCTTCTTTCATTCTCTCCTTCTCTCTCTCTCTCTCTCTCTTTGTCTGTCTCTCTCTCTGTTTCTCTCTCTCTCTCTCTCTCTCTCTCTCTCTCTCTCTCTCTCTCTCTCTCTCTTTTGATGCGAAAGCTTTGTCTCTAGTTTTGATAATTTTACTTTTGTTTTGACACCACCCTTCTTTGTGACTTGAGTGAAATGTAAGGCTGGAATGAAATGAGTCTTTTTTTAGGGGATGGGAAGGGGCTTTTCAGGTGAATGAAAAAACTATTTATGTGTGCATGTTGCAAATTGTTGACATCTTTACCAGCGCTGTTTTAGTAAAGAGAAGGCGTATAAATGGTGAACCAGTTCTTTCTGATGTTTTATGGCATCTCTTAGACAAATAAGTGTCTGCTAGGGGATATCTTTCCTATCTAATAAAGGTTGACTACCATAGCCTATTTATTAGTTTCGAATATCTTTATTGTTTTTTGAGAGTTTGTGGAAATGTTTACAACTATTCGTTTGATACAATTTAGCCCAACTACTAGAGAAGATATAAAGTACGAGAAATAGAACTGACAATAAAGTAAAGCTATATGCAGTAGAAAACAAACTACACACCTTCCTGAAAGTCATTCTGAAAGTAGAATTATTATCTTATTCAGGTAAAGATTCTAAATCCAGTTATGTAGAAGAGAAGGGTTTTTGATTTGTGCAGAGGTGTTTATAAATCTAAAATTCAATGATTAAGTTTCTTTCAGTATTGTGATAAGTAAAAATTCAATGATTAAGTGCCTTTTAGTATTGTAATAGTAATAAGTAAAAATTCATTGATTAAAGTTTCTTTCAGTATTGTAGTAAGTCTTTTATGTATCTATTTATCTATTTTTTTTTTTTATGTGTACATCAGAAAACATCGAGTGCCGATTCATCAGAGGTCGTGACCCCAGTACTGGGCACACAGTCGGGCTCAGAGACGCCGGTACTGACCGACCAGATGTTGCAGGCCCATGCGCGGGAGACCTCATGGGTCATCAAACTTTGCATGAAGAACATCATTGGTAAGGTTTGGTGGTGGGGCACTTCTAGGATGGGTCTGTCAGGAGCTGGGATGACTCTGAAATGCTTATGTTATCATGTGTTAAAGAAATGTCCTCAGGACCGTTGTTGTTTCTGATGATAGTGACATAGCACAGGTGCATGTTTCACATAATAATAATAATGATAATAATAATAATAATAATAGTACCAATAATAATAATAATAATAATAATAATGATAATAATAATAATACCAATAATAATAATAATAATAGTAATAATAATAATAATAATAATAATAATAATAATAATAATAATAATAATAATAATAATAATAATACCAATAATAATAATAATAATAATAATAATAATGATAATAATATTAACTATATTAAAACATATTCACTCTTTGCAACGTGCTGTATACATTTTACTACTATTATTATCCCTGTAGACCCAAGGACACTTAGAAATATTCTTGGCTTCCAAGATGTTGTTAGGGTTCTTGAATAAATTTTAAAAATTCCCCATTGTAAAAAAGTACCCCTTTCACACCTGTAAAATAGTGAGACATCCCTTTTACCTTCCTTGCTTAAGTAGCTTTGATACACAGTCAAACCTGCTCTTACGAGCACCTATCCAAGACAATCACCTCCACAACCACTTCCCATTTCCTTCCTTGTATTTATTTTTTCTTTACCATAATGACACACAGGTGGCGTTGGTGGCCTAGATCTAGTGGTTAGGCTACCGGACTTCGTGATAGTGAGTTTGCAGGTTTGGGGGTTTGAGCCTCAGCTCGGTCCAATGTTGTGTCCTTGGGAAAGGCACTTTACACGAATTTCCCAGTTGGCTTGGTCCTTTCGGAGATGGACTTAAAGCTCGGAGGTCCCGCCTCTTAAATCACCTAATAGTGTTGATAGAGGTGTTAAGTCTATACTATTTCACCATTTCATAATGACACTCTCCAAGAGGACCACCTGTCTAAGATGACCACTTTTCCTCTCGACAATGGGTGGTTTTAAGTTATATGCAGACGACACAGTCCTAATTGCAGAAGATGAAGAACACCTACAGGATTGTGTGGTAGAACAAATAAATGAACCATTGGCGAGTCTTGACTTTTGCTATGTAGAGAGCGGTGAGACAATCAAGTAAATCTACCCCTCCCATGTGTTTGTTGTACGTGCAAATTACAGCAGGGCGCTTCACTGCAGTTTTTTTGGGGTCAATTTTTTGTCCCACCTGGTAATGTTCTCAACAGGTTCTGGTCCAACATATGACGAAATGACATCAACTTTCTTGTTGTCGTACCATCGAAGGGCGATGATGTTGGAGTCAGCATCCACTAGACTGTCCATGCTTCCCCTACCCTCTTTTGCTAGCTCCTTTTCTGCCTTCAACTTGCAACCTTTCAAGCGGTTTTCACAGACAGTTCCCACATATAGCAGTCCTTTCTCCTTCAACTGTTTCACCAAGTTCACCCTCGAAAAGAGGTTGTCGGCAAAAATGTAATTCTTTCCATCCTCCAAGGTCTTCACCATATCCATGACAACATCACCTCCCATGCCTAGTTCTGATCTACGACAATGAGCTGCATTTGAACCTTGATACACATCAAAGTCGTGCAGAGTGCCTTCACTTCCACAACGAGCCCACAACTTGAAACCCCATTTGTGGGGTTTATTCCGAATGTATTTTGTTTCAGACTACAACGACCTTTGAAAGATACCAATATTTCATCAACACACTAATGCTCAGACGGAATAATCTTTTCGATATTGGATTTTAGATAATTGATCCACGGACGGAGTTTCCATACATGATCATTGCTTGTGCTGTCATCATGAGTCTCATTGCGGACAAAATGCAATCGTTTCAAGAAAAAATTAAGTACCGGTAGTATGTGTTTCACATTTCAGAATTTGTACAAATACACTTGTACTTGTATAAAGAAAATTAACTTTATGAACCCTTCCAATCTAAAGGCTGTTTACTGTATGCATTTTCTCTGAAATAAAGTCAGTCTGCTTTTTTTCCCCCAATCAACTTGAACTTTTTGACATTTCACATTAAAACAGGGCTATATGAAAAAAAATCAGGACTCAAATGCCCAATGTCCCACATCTGGCACACTGAAAAAAGTCCAGGGCTGCCCAGTGTGCCAGATTTAGACCATACCTAAAAACACCCCCATAAATCAAAATTTAAATGTTGAACATGGAATTTGATGGTGATAATATCTAAATCTGCTTCGTTTCAAAACATATATAAGGATGAATTGACAAAACTATATACCTGACGGTTGATGGTGATAGACTGAAGAAGAGTGGGTCCTGTTGTCTGTATAGAGCACAGGTGGTGGTAAAAAACAGGAAGTTGAAAGGGGAAATTACTACAAAAAAATCCCCCAAGGGCACTCAGAGGATGATTGTCAAGTTACCTACCACATGAAATTCCCGAACATAACAAATATTAATTATTGTTTCCCCTGAAGCTGGTTATTTGACATATGCCAGATATGGCACTCTGGGCACTAGAGGGTTAAATGTCATCGTACAAGAGAGTGACAACATGGGCCTAAGCCTAAACATCAAGAAAACTGAACAATGGTGACAAACCGAAAAATTCCAACCCCAACCTGAAATATCAAAGTCAATGGTACCACCCTCAAGCAAGTACATTTGAAATATTTGGGGACCATTATGTCATCAGATGGGAGGTGTCACACTGAAATTAAAAGCTGCATTTGCCAAGCCAAAGCAACCTTCCACAAATTGAAACAGATACTTACAAACATGAATCTGTCACTGGAAACAAGAAAAAGAATACTGACAAGTTACATCAAGCCAATCCTATTATACGGGTGCGAAGCATGGACAATCAATAGACAGCTGGAAAGAACAATTGAGGCAACAGAGTTGTGGTTCATAAAACGCATGCTGCGTATCCCATGGACAGCTAGAAAAAAAAAATGAAGAAGTCTTGGTTGAAGCAAATTGCAGATGACAACTTATGACGAATATACGAAAGCAACAGGCAAATTTCATTGGACTCACAATGCGGAAAGAAGCATTGGAGAATATTGTAATAACAGGCAAGTTTGATGGAAAGAGAGGCAGAGGACGAAAGAGGCAAAAGATACTGGAGAAGTTAACAACATGGCTGGGAACAGCAAGAACAACAGACACCGTCGCTGCAACGCGGGACTGAGGGAAGTGGAGGTCCGTGATTGCCCATGCCAGTAGGCAAGGCACCGTATGATGATGAATGGGTGGTTGTCTTGTACAGGTTCAACTGTATCTAGTTTTTGCCGTCAATTTTTGTCTTTCTTTCTTTCTTTCTTTCCTTTCTTCAGGTCAGCCAGAGTGTCAACGAGACGGTGCCCCAATGAAGTTTGAACCCCTGCCCATCAGGCTGGAAGCTCTGCAGGTTCTCACTAACCTAGTCAAGAACTACTTCCCGGTCATCAGGTGGCCTGCATGTTTCTTTTCTTTCATTGATAAGAATTTGCCTCCGTAACTTGTCAGATATTTACGGCAACTCGCGGCAATAAGTTGTATTAGAAACTACCAGATTGCGCATTTCGTACACTCGACCATTGTCTTATCTGTGCCGTTCGGTCGGCAATAGTTTTTCGCATGCATATCGGCTAAAATCTGTCTTCTCATGATAGATAATCTTCCTCCTTCCTGTCATTCATTCTTTCTTTCTATGTTCGTTTTTTTGCTGCGCATTTAATTCATATATCTAGAAAACAGAATTGTGAATGTAGAAAGAAAATCGATATCGAAGCAAAACATTCCAAAATATGTCTTGGTCTAAAGAATTGGCCAGTACCAAATGAGGTTTCTACGCAGGGGGACTGTGGGAAGCTGAAAAAAAAAAATCACGGAGACCCGAGAAAATGCACAAAGTCCTTGAAACCAAATCTGAATTCATATTTTACCAGTCGCGTTTGTGATAATACGTTTGGCTTTCCCCAGTCCGAGAGTACTTTTCACGCGAATTAGCGGCTATGGCGGCAGGCGGAAGTGTAGGTGTAATACAGGGACTCTATCGGGAAAATCAAAATCTACTTTCGCTTTCGTTACCGCTCAGAATTGTCCAATGATAGTTTGTTAACGTTAGATTTACAGTTATTCAAAATTTGTAACATGCAGTTTGTGCGGAAAAATCACAGTGTCGCCATAAAAATTAAATCGATATTCTCACTGATGTCACTATAATGACCAAAAAAAAAGGAAGAAGAAGAAAACAAGCATCCTCTGATTTCTAGATTGTCGGGCCTGTCATCGTGACCGGTCAGTGAACCTGTGTGAGTTTGCATCGTGTGAGTGCGGCATGAGTAAGGGACCGGCTGACGGTTGCTGGGGTATTCAAAGTTCATTCAAAGTAGGAGTGTTGCACGGCTTCGGAATTGAAGGGTTGTGTTTGACGCAATAAAGTCTATGGCCGCAGGATAAGGCTGTGGAAGAAACTAATGCTGAAATAAAAACGATAAGTGGAAGTGGTTTTGACATTCGACTATCTAGTGCGTAAATAAGGGAACTTTAGAGCACAGGTTTGATGATTTCATTTTCAAGGTTGGTGTTCCCGGATTTGTCAGTGATTTGCCATTTTCAACCCTTGGAAATCTCTATGTTGGATGCCTGTGCATCATGATGGCTTGTTGCTGATTAAAAACTGGTGCTGTGATTTAGCATTTTGAAAAAAAAAACAATACTTGGTCCATGATGCAGTGATTCACTGATTGCCAGGTTTTCAACATCACTACATCCCACGCTCTCACAGTCCTCCCAGCTCCGGCTCTCAGTACACGCTTCTCTTTTTTTTTCACTTTTTGCTCTGCCATAAGCCTAACTATAAAGGTTTTATATAAGTTTTGTCTTGCATGCTTTTTAAAATCCATGATTGCTGAAACAAACATGGTTTTGGCTGTGTAAGTTCTTCTTGCCTCTCGTCAGGCCCAGACCAGGGTTCATTTTGTATTTTTAGGGTAAAACTAATTAAAATTAAGTGTCTGGCATACTTAAGTCACAATAAGGACTTATATCTGTGTCCTATGCTAGTGTCTCTCTCTGCCCATCAGACATAGCTTGGGGTTACTCCAGAGCGTGGTTCAGCTGTGTTTTGAGGATCCTTCTCTCTCTCTTTGTGTGCATCTCTCAATCTTTCTCTCTCTGTCTCTTTTTACCCATCTCCTTATAGCTATCTCTCTGCCCACCAGACACAGCCTAAGGCTACTCCAGAGTGTGGTCCAGCTATGTTTTGAGGATCCAAATCACATCATCAAGCTACACGGGGCCAAGCTGCTGGACGAGTTGACGCAGGCGCTACAGAGAGACGTGCAGGACGCAAAGCTGGCTCCTTCGCAGGTGGTGCCCACACAACAGGTGTGTGGGTGTGGGGAGAGAGGGAGGGAGAGAGGGAGGATTAGTGGGAGGATTAGTGGGAGGGTGAGAGGGGGAGAGAAAGAGAGGGAGAGAGAGGGGGAGAGAGAGAGAGAGAGAGAGGGAGAGAGAGAGAGAGAGAGAGAGAGAGAGAGAGAGAGAGAGAGAGAGAGAGAGAGAGAGAGATTTTTCAAGATGATTTTATTGATTTGCAAAGTCTTTGGCCCATACATCCACATACTTTTACATGTGACTCGGCAAATAGGGCCTACATAATTTGGTGCAGCACATCAATAATTTACATGAATTGGAGACCATTCTGTAGCAGGAAGGAAGAGAGAGAGAGAGAGTGAGGGAGAGAGATAAAAAGAAACAGAGTGGGAGGGAGGAAGAGAGGAAAGAGACTGAGAGACAGAGGGAGGAAGAGAGACTGAATGACAGAGGGAGAGAAAGGGAAAAAGATAGAGAAAAGAGAGACTTGAGAGACAGGTAGAGAGAGAGAGGGTTGAATGGAGAAAGAATGAGAGAAAGAGAGAGAGACAGGCTGACGGACAGGCTCAATCTTGCAATAACCCTAACCTGTTTCCTGCCACTTACACTATGTCCCAGTGTCGACAGTATTGTTACTCTCCACCTAAAACTACTTGTGTCCTAGATTCTGGACTTCTGGCTGTTCCTGCTGTCGGGCCCCCTCCCCCAGCTGCTGGCCGTTAACCCGGACCTATCTACTGAGGGCAACAACCTGGTTCGGTCCGGGGCTTGCGAGTGTATGGCCAATATAGGGGAGGAAATATTCGCTCAACTACCTGTGAGGAAAAGTTATAATAGCTACACTAATGATTAATAATAATAATAATAGATAATAGATTGCATTTAAGAAGCGCTCTATCCCAAATGAGTATACAAGCTCTCAGAGTTTTACATCAATCTCATGATCACTTAAAAGTAATAATTCATTCACAGAGGATGAAATATTTCACAATAAGTAGAAAAACCCAGTTCAACCACTTAAAGAAGAACCATCACAGCCATACACTAATTATAAACACGATTATTAAAGTGAAAATATGATACATGAAATATTAACCCTATCCGTACGTCCTGAGGTTGTATTCTTCACATTTTAGAATACTTCTAGTGCGAAGGTCTCTTTGAAAGTTTAAGTATTTCTCAAAAAATTATTTTGACCAGACTGCTATGCAAAGTGTATGGATCGGATTAACGAGTAAATTTCCTCTTTGGAAAGTGGTGACACACAGTTCCCCACGTTGGATGGATACGATAGTAAAACACGATGTACAGATAGGGTTAATAATCTATATAATATGTGAGGCAGCGTGGTGAAATCAGGCCCTCTTCAAAATAATGAAATCGGAGAAATCGGCATTTATCGGCCAGTTTGGACATTTTTTCCGATTTTTTCTCTTTTGGCTCAGCGCCTTGTATGTCAATTAAAAAACACTTTAATGCGTGGATTTTTGGAAAAACGTTGATTAAAGGTGCAAAAAAGGTAAATTTTCAGTTTCCCAGGGCTCTCCAGCTATGGAAGTCATCAAACTTTAGCGGCCATTTTCTCTCTATTTTTACCCCTGAAACCAGGCGACCCCTACCTCCTTCAATCGCAAATATCTCGACTTCTATTGAAAATAGATGGTCGCTTTTTTTACTGAAAGCAAGACGAATGAACAAGCTTTCAGATGATACCAATAACGCCACATGCCCAAAAATTGACGAGCGCCTGATTTCACCGCATCGTGACACATATTTATTTTCAGTCGGGTCGACCTTTGCGTCACTTTTTAGAAGAAATTGCTCACTCTTCAGACCTCAAAATTTAAACAGAGGCAGCATTGAATATTCCTAAGAACATGATGGGTTCGGATTTCGTGATTTTTAGTTCCAAACTGTGTTGCAAGGGCCATGAAATGCTTTAAAACATTGTCCTTTTCTCTCCTCCTTCTTTCCTTTGTATGTAACTCTCTAGTAACACCTCATATCTTTGGCACTTATTTGAACTATTTGTGTTGCAAGTGCCGTAAAACTTACCATAACTACAACTAAAACCAAGTACTATTAAATGCTTCTTTTCCCCCTTCATTTCTAGAGCACTTGTATGATTTATTTGTGTTGCAAGTGCTGTAAAACTCTTACTAAAATTAACTCTAAAACCAAGTACCTTTTAATGCTTCTTCCTGCCGTCCCCTCATTTCCAAGGCAATTGTATGATTTATTTGTGTTTCAAGTTCTTTAAAACTCTTACTTAAACTAAAACCAAGTACCTTTAAATTCTTCTTCCTGCCGTCCCCTCATTTCCAAGGCAATTGTATGATTTATTTGTGTTTCAAGTTCTTTAAAACTCTTACTTAAACTAAAACCAAGTACCTTTTAATGCTTCTTCCTGCCGTCCCCTCATTTCCAAGTTTCAAGTTCTTTAAAACTCTTACTTAAACTAAGACCAAGTACCTTTAAATGCTTTTTTCCCCCCTCATTTCCTGGGCGCTTGTATGATTTATGTTACAAGTACGAAAAAATTCATACTAAAACTAATTAGTACCTTTAAATGCTTCTTTCCCCCCTCATCTCCAGCGTCCGCGACAGATGCAGTGTGTGACCTTGGTGCTGGGTCTGGCCGGGGATGAGGACAAGCTGATCCGTGCGTCGGCCGTCAGGGCCCTCGGCATCTACGTCATGTACCCCACGCTCAGAGACGTGAGTCTTAGAGGGTTTTTTTTATTTCTAAAGTTTGTTGATGGTGATGGTTATGGTTATGGTAATCGCTTTGTTGTTCTTGGTGACAGACTGATTTTGTAATTGTTTTTGTTTGTGGTTTTGGTAGTAGCGGTGTTGTCTTATTTGTCAGTATTGATATTGGTGTTTGATGGTGGTAGTGGTGTTGTAGGTTATGGTGGTGGTAGCTATGTTGTAATTCTTTGTAGACTTTATCGCTGTCTTTGCTTTTTACATTAGTTGTGCTGATTCTTCTGTATACATAGGTATGTGAGTGATTGGCGGGTGCTCTGGTGTGGTTTACTCCTTCTTTCTTATCAAACATCTATTATCTTTATCTCCTCCTTATTTGTGTTTGTTACTCTCTAACCGTCGCCACTTAAATGACCTTATTCTGTTGCAAGTGCCGTGAAAATTTTAATCAGACAAAAAAAAACATGAGTATGGCAGCGTTTCTTGTTTAGGGGAAGAGAGAGAAAAATGACAGGTTCTGCTTTTCCCAATTATCCAATTACTGACATGTTAAGATGGTTATTATCGCAATTTTAAAATACACGACCTTCTCCTACTTTAATGCACCCACTCACACACCACCCCCCCTCCCCCACGATCCCTCATGCCATTACAGGATGTAGCATTTGTGATTGACGCTGCGAAGGCCATCTTAGTATGCGTGGCCTCCCCCGGCAACACGGTACGCTTCAAGGCTGCCTGGGCCATGGCCAACCTGTGTGACTCTCTGGTCAGCAACAAGTAAGAAGACTGATGTCTTGACTTGCAAACTCTGCCGGAAGCTGACAAGATGCCTTTAAAAAAATTCACAACCATTTTGAGATGAAGAGACGTTTTGTCAACATAACCATTTAAAAAAGGCCATCTTCCGAAATTTGAATTCTAATTTATTAAAATCTAGTGATCAGGCTTTCGATGTAGCAATAAGAAAGTTTGTTGCCAATAATTAAAAAAAGCATTTTGTCAGCTTACGGCTGTACCGTGAAAGGGATGCTTGATTGTCTGAGAGACAAGTTATCGAATTTTGTAGTTTCAAATTTACGATGCACATGGAGGTATTTTTGGGCATTTCAAGGTATTTGTATGGGGTGATCCAAAAAAACCAACGTAACAACTTTTTTTCTAAATATGTTGCACCAAACTTGTACTAAAATGTTGTTATTTGGAACAGGTATACTTCATCCAAAAGGGATTTATTTACACAAAATTCATAAAGGAAAATCGTGTTTTCAAAAGTGGAAATGGCTTTTATAAAAACCACCTAAAAATGCAAAATTTAAAAGATCTTATCTTTTCATCATTGTAACACTTAAGCAATATTTCTTTTCTCTTACGAAATCTTTTAAAAATTTGTAAAGCTCTGGAATTCTGAGAACCAGTGCTCTATACAGTGGCACTCGGATTCAACGAGGTTGCTGGGCCTGACCTAAAATCTTGTTGAATCCGAGTGTTTGTTATAGCAAACATGAGTTTTGTGTAGATAATTACAGGCACTGAGCAAGTAATGTATAAAAGAGAAGTCGCAAGTAGTGCCTGAAATGCCTGCATATTATGAACTGTGTAAAAAAAAGACCCGATTCGTTCCAATGCACACGCCTGAGTCATCTCATTTGTTTACCAAAAAGTTCTGTTGCTGTGTAGAGCCTGGCATACGTCAACTTTTGATTCCATAGACCAGCGTACAATTCATTATGTAGATATACGTCAAGACTAGCTTACATTGTAATAGTGATCAGTTGCCGAGGGGGAAAAAAAGACTGACGCGTTTGTATCTACGACGTTCAACGCCCGACAGCCACACGTGTGCAGGCTGCCCATCTGACCCTGACACATGCCAGAGTAGACACGTGCACGTGTCAACAACGCATGTGTTGGTATGAAAAAAGACCACCGATTGGTCGCATGCAATCGGCTAAGTGAATAATGGTTCACAATGCAGGTGCGAAGGATGGTTTCCGGAAGTAGATAAAGTTCGTTGAATTCGAGCTTGCTGATTTAAGTGCTCGTTGAATCCGGGTTATTTTTAATGATTTTAAAGAAGAAAAAAACCGGGGAATCTATCTCATCTCGTTGAATCTGAGTTCTCGTTGAATCCGAGCTCGTTGAATCTGGGTTCCACTGTATGTCCTTTTTCGGACTTAACACATTTTAGCGCGTCGTTTGTAATGTTCAGTGGTGGCCAAACACAAGGATCCACCCAATCATGAGTACTCAAAGCCACACACATTGTACACCTAACAGTATGGAGTTGTTTTTAGAGACAATAGGGGGTAGGGTGAGGTTGCCCAAATAGACAGCATTTGTGGAGTAAACATATCCTGAAAGGTGAATATGGGCTTTGCCAAGGAACCAAATGTCATAGAGGAAATGTTCACATTTTTTCAATACGATAGAGGAATCATGAACACATTGCTATCCTCTGATCTATGCCAGCTTTGCAAACAGGAAAAGGGTACAGCTTTAGATAAAGATCTCCCTTGAGAATGCAGACCGTTGAGATATGGGAAAGTCCTAGCTGCAGACATAGTCTACGGACAGACGTCTCATAGGGCTCATCTACTGAATCTGCACTCGGGTGACATTTAAAGGGGTACGAATGGTGTGTGTTTGACCTGAAGTGGTCATTTTGTCTGGGAATTTTTAGTTTTGATTCTCTACAGGTCCTAGCAGATGGACCATTTCCACCCTTGACATCAAAGGAGGCCCTAAAGACACTCTGCAAAATTTACGAAATGAGTTGGTGGTGAGGAAATGTTCAATAGAAAAAAGCTCTCTGCTCTTTACTAGTCTTAGCCATGATCTCAACATGCAAAGGAAACTTGAAAAAAACTGTCTTCAAACTTCTGCTGGTATGTTAGACTACTGCAACTTGCAATACGGCCCAATCGTTGGGACTTTTAGTGGTAGGTCTAATGCGAACTAGTGTGTCATGCTACAAAAATGGGGACATCGCTGAAAAGGGATTGTTTTTTTATGCAACTCTTCTGTGGATTTATTTAAAATGAATTTGAGACAAATTCCTTTTGACTCCAAAATGTTGTGTACAAATTTGAAACACAAAACTTCGGTGTGGAGGAAAATATGTACAAAAAAAGTTGTTTAGTGTTTTTTGGATCACCCTGTATTTGCTTATTCAGCAAGGTTCTGTTATGTTATTTTATTTGTGGGCAGAATTCTTAATCAACTTGATATCATCACTGATTGGTGACATTTTGGAGCACTTTAAGACCACTCTGTGGTCACTCACACAAGCCTGATTTTCTCTTGCTGGTTCGTGAATTTTGTTTTAACCTTTTCGTGTTCTCTACTTAACTCTTTCATTACCAGGGGTTTTTCCTAACCTGGACCGGGCCCTACCTGTAACCTACTTTCTGATTCTGCCTACCCTCGGACAAGTGAAAGATTTTTAGTTCAATTTTCAATGTTAACGACATGTACTATATATGAAAATAAAGGGGAAATAATGACTGATCTCAACATGTTGCTAAAAATGAACATTCTTCAGCCTGAGATTTCAGTTTTTGATTATTACAAAAGTAGGGCTGGTTTTGAAGCAGGAAGTGGAGAGCTGCGAAACACGGCTGGCGTTAGTGAAAGAGTTAAAGAATCCAACCTTGCTTCGTCCCACCTGATCAATTGTCCTTTTCACTTTACGGACTCTGCACCCTACACTTAATATTTACTGAAATTGATTAATTCCTTTGTTGTGTAATATTACCTCATACAGACCTGCATCTTGTATCATGTATAGTTTATTAATGTGAGGCAAAAGTGCATTAAATAAGATAAGATATATTTTGAAAAATAAATAGCGTTTGATCTTCCAGCAGGCATTTATGTGACCCAAAGATGAGGTGTAGTCTTTTTAAATTATTCGGAACCACATCAATAATTTATTTATAGAGGAACCAGCCATCTGTGTCTAGTAGTGCTGCGAAACCCAGTGCTGGTCCTTTCTCTGCACCAGTGACACTGGGAAGTGAGAGACTGTGCATCTCGCATCTCGCGCAACGATCAGGGCTGCCCTCATCCCATCTCCCCCCCTCATGCACACACCCACACACCCACACACACACCCACACACACACACACACACACACACACACACACACACACACACACACACACTATTGGGAGAGGCGAGCTGTGAAGCTTGCCACAGCGCGGATTAAACTTTGCATTTGCATGCAGTATTTTGAAAATAATTATCGCCACTGAAAATTGATTTCATTTTCAGAATCACCGTTTCAAAATAAGCAAAGTGGCCTGCGTGGAACCTGATTTGATGCCATATTTAAATTTAAGTAAACTTTGTTTTTGATTGTAAATTTTGAAACGGAAGTCATGTATCAAGGTCACCCGCTCTGTTGTGCATCTGATGTCACAGCTGCTAGGCCTAGGCTAGGCCTACACACTGCACACTTCCCGTCATAGTTCTGAACTTAACCTCAAGGTCACAACACATTACATGTGAACTTAAAAGTTATTTTTTTTAAAGTTGGCATGAAATTTTATTATACCAATAAAAATTACAATGCAATAAAAACCATGAATCCTTGAAAGGTTGGGCACTATTTTTTGTTGTTGAAAAAATCATAATAGTGCCTAACCTTTAATCGATGTACAGAAAAGTAGGAAGACGTGGAATAACATCAAGAGGCTATCCCAGTATAGAGAAAGATGGAAGGTGTTTGTCCGTGGCCTATACCCTGGTGCAGGGTGAGAAAGGCAATGATGATGATGCCTAATCTTTCCTGACTCGCCGTATTATTTTTTCCTCAGTGCTACAAAACCCGAGCTTTACCGTTGTCTGTTGTTTGTTTCACTCTTAGGGACAACAATCTGGAGGATTTCATGTCGGATTTCCCAAAGCCTCTGCTGCTACAGCTGGTACAGCAGACAGCGGCCTCCATCAGGGACAGTGACAAAGTGAGCTGCAACGCGGCGCGAGCCATCGGAAACCTGCTACGCTACCTGCCCCCAGACAGCTTCGAGCAGATCCAGATGATCGAGGCCATAGACAAGGCTGTCAAAGGGCTCATAAAAAACATGAATTCTGGCACCATGAAGGTAACACGGCAACTCTTTCTTTTCTGTTTTTTGGTGAATTAAAATAGGCAGATAACATGCGTGCCATTTACGAGAACAGCATAAGTACAGTAAGAATGTCAGAGGGACTCACAGAATGGTTCGAGATAACATCTGGAGTAAGATAAGGTTGTGTCCTATCACCACTACTATTTATCATATATATGAATAGAATTACAAAAGTGGCCAACACAGAACCAGACGCCCTAAATGAATTACTCTTCGCTGATGATCAAAGCCTGGCACACAAAGATGAACGAAGTCTCCAACACCACACCACGAGATTAAACGTGAAGAATGTAACAAATACGACATGAAGATCAACATCAACAAAACAGACAATGAAAGTAAGCAGACAGCCAGAACCACTCAGGATACACATCAACAACAACAGTCTCAGACATGTTCAAGAATTTAAGTATCTCGGAAGTATGTTCACAGAGGATAGGCGACTGAACAGAGAAATTGAAACACGAACACAAAAGCCAATAATGTTAGTTACCAGCTTACTCCACTACTGAAACATCCTAACATCCCCATGACAACAAAACTCAAAATGATCAACACCATATTCATCCCAACACTCACCTATCAATGTCAAACATGGACCACGAACATGACATTAGAGCAAAGAATTACAACATGTGAAATGGGATGCCTTAGAAGAGCAGCAAACAAGACCAGGCGAGACAAAATTAGAAACTCAGTAATCCGAGAAATGGTGGGCACAAATGATGTCTTGCACCACATCCAACACCAAAGAATCAAATGGTTTGGACATCTCCTACGATTACCAACACACCATCCAGCACAACGTGCCTACTTAAAAAAGTTTGATGGCAACAAGGTTAGAGGGCTACCAAGAAAGACCTGGATAGATGGAGTCAGGGAAACATTTACCACCCACGGCTTCCCCCTGACCCAAGCTCTCTGGCTGGTGACAGAGACATCTCTTTCTTCTCGCAATACCCAAAAAGGTATAAGCGGCGGATAAAAGTAAAAGTAAAGTAAAATAGGCAGTTTAGTGAACTCGTTCACGGCGGGGCGAATCGGCTGCAATACGCCCCGTAGACTTTTGTGACCAGCCGTGAGGCCTCACGTTATGGTGGGTCTAAACAACTTAGTTTTGTTTTGTTTTGTGAATTGAACTACCTCATCCAATACATCTTTTTAAATGGAAAAGAAAGATCTTCAAAATGGCGGTTTTCGCGTGAAAATCGATTCGGTAGAACTTCTGAAAACAAGACAATTTTTACAACGCGATAAAATGAAAACTACTGGCTGTATATTTATGAATCTTTCAGAAGTTATACATTATCCATTGTAGTTTCTTTTGACACCGGAGTTGTTCAGGCTGAATTTTGCACAACGCTATGGGGCTTCCCGTAAAAATGCATACAAAAAGCTGAACTGCCGAATTGGCCGGTCAGCGACCGGGTGCCCCCGCTTTCCCCTGCACACTGCGATAATGTGTTGCGCCGGCATCGTATTTATTCGCGTTTTACTTGTTTCTCCGGATTATAATAATACGGACGGCTATGAAATTATGCACTGACTGACAAAAGAATCCACAGTTTTGTACCGTATTTGGCTCTTGAATAGTGTAGATGACAGCTAAATCTAGATTCCCTATCTAGAATTAGCAGTAGTAGGCTAGCTAGCAGCAGTCAGAGCGCGTGCCTCTGTTAGATCTAACTTACAAATGAAATATATACCTTTGGGCTTTGGAATTGAAGTAGAACTTGGATTGCACAGTTCTAATTGATGTTAGATTCAGCATCTATCTTGCTATATTTACCAGAGTTAATAATAATAAATCTCATCCTAACAATCACTTTTACTAGACAACTTTTTTCTCAAATCAGTTTTGCACAAACTACTAGTTAGTAGTAGAGAAAACAGAGTTTATAAGCCACTGCTCAGTCTTTCACTTTCAGTAGATCTACCTCATAATTTTATGATATTATTTTTTGGATATTTTTACTATTTACATTATCAAATTGTGCCATTTCTTTATGGCCAAAGAATAGCAGGAGAATCTTTAGACAGTGAGTCTCTGACTCAATATTTAAAAAAGATTGTGCTCATTTATGAAAATTGCTAGTTGATAATGACTCAGAACAATACAATTGCCATGAATAGTGAAGAAAAAAGTGTGAAAAAAAAAAGAATGAAGTAGACTATAATTTTTCAAAACAATTGCAAGTGCAAGATCATATGATGGTTTTGTTATTTTCTGGTCATCTTTCCGCAGGTTCCAACTAAAATAAATAGGTCTCTGAGGAATTTTTTTCTTGACTTTAAAAGCTGTTTTATGCACTTGAAAGCATAAAATATAGCTTCACATAAATGTATGTTACAATGCTGTGAAAAAGAAGGATAGAGGGTTGACTTATGGTCATGAGGGTTTTTTAAAAATGGAATCCGTTTTACGATTAGAAAAGCACTAAAAACAAGTTTTAAAATCTTAAGAATGACCATAAAATTTGGAAATTACTACTTAGTTGGCTTAACTCTTTAATAATTATGAACAGTGAAGTAAAACAAAGAGAATGATGTATGATTTGTCTAAATATGACCATTAGCAGCTAAGCTACTGCATGTTTTTTCAATTTCGTGTTATCCTTGCGGGTGATTTTTCATCACCGTGAATCTCTATAAGTGTCAAAAAAAATTTACGTGACTTTGTAAAAAGGTGAATTGTAACTGTGTGTATTCTGTGTAAAACTCCCTACAAATTGATGTATAACACTTATTTTTTAAAAATGCATTTTTTGTTTAGCAATGGTCAGTTGTGTTGTAAAGTTACATTTTGGTGTCACAAAAACTCAGGATTAAAAATGGCCTAAAATTGGCCGAATTTTACGCATATAAAAAATCGCCATAACTTTCAAAATAATTATTAGATATCAACACAATTAAACTGTTTTATGATCATGAAGGCAGGGGCTTTCAAATGAAACTGCCTAATTAAAAAAGATAAATTTGATAGTGCATAGAGCTTACTGTTGAACAGGGGTATGCGCTATACAAATGCTTCCCCCCCCCCCCAATGTGAAAAAGTTTATTCAAATAAATTAAGAGTCGGGCCAACGTGGATTGAGAGGGATATAACATTGCAGCAGAAAGACCAAGATCTGTTATTTTTATTGTGGCAATTTACATCGTAGAAGTAGAAACTAAAAAGGAAAGGAAAGAATCTCGTTCTGTGAAAGCTGAGGTGTACAAGAATCCCGAACCAACCCCTCCTGATTTTTCCTATTTTCCCATTACCCGGGCCCACCCTACAGGTGCGGTGGAACAGCTGCTATGCTGCCAGCAACGCCTTCCAGAACAGCCACCTGCCCAGCGACAGGCCCTGGGTCAGCGATATCCTCAGCATGCTGTGTCGAGTGGTTCAGACCTGCACCAACTTTAAGGTTAGTTGCTATGTCTGTTTGTGCGTGTGTGTGTGTCAGTCTGTCCGTCTGTCTACCCCCCTCTCTCTCTCCCCCTCTCTCTGTCTCTTATCTGTTTCCCTCTCTCTCTGTCTCTTGTCTCTCTCCTTCTCTCTCTCTGTCTCTTGTCTCTCTCCTTCTCTCTCTCTCTCTCTCTCTCTCTCTCTCTGTCTCTTGTCTCTCTCCTTCTCTCTCTCTCTCTCTCTCTCTCTCTCTCTCTCTCTCTCTCTCTCTCTCTCTCTCTCTCTCTGTGTCTATCTGTAAATTTGCCTGCCTGCCTGTCTATTATTATTATTTACTAATTAGCTAAAACACGGGCAGCGGTTGGAATCTATCAGTATTGACTGCTGTACTATTTTATGTCTTACAGGTTTGCATAAATTATTTAAAATAGATTATGTAAACAAGTTGGAGGTACCAAAGACAAAGACTGTGGTTATTGTTTGTTTAGTACAGGGTTTTACGGCGCTCGCAACTGCCTAAGGTCATATGAGCTCGCGGGACACACCTAATACTTTTTCGTTGGTAGGAAATTTTGGATTTTGCCCGGGTGGTGGCCGAAGCCTACTCTTATCGATTTTAGACCACCAAGGGATCTTTAAGGTGCGCAACTTGCACACGGGCCCTCCGAGATTTTTCGCCCTTGTCCGAGAAGGTTAGGTGTAGATCTTTCCTACCAGAAGATCAGGGGTGTGGCAGAAAGACAGCAGTTAGGAGGAGCCAAGGAGTAGCAGTAGAAAGGCTGCAGAAAGAGTCAGGAGCCCAGAGGAGGGGGCAAAGGAGGTGAGGGGGTGGGGGCAGAAAGTGGAAATGAAAGCAGACAACAGAACATTGTTAGAGATCAGGAAAGGATGTGAAAGGAGACAATTTTAGAGAAGAAAATTTTTTGGTCGCTACCCGGAATCGAACCCGGGACCTTTGATTGAGAGGTCAACACCTTAACCTCTAGGCCACGAGAGCCCCCGACTGTGGTTAGAATCAATCAGTTGTGAGCACTGTACTATTTTGTATCGTACAGTTACGCATAAACTCTGTATACATATCAAAGGTATCTAATTCACAATCACAGGCTGTGGTTACAATCAATCTAAAGTGAGCACTGTACCATTTTGTGCCTAACAGGTACGCATAACATATTTATACAAATCGAAGGTGTCAAATTCACAGGCTGTGGTTAGAATCAATCTGAAGTGAGCACTGTACTATTATGTGACGTTGGTTGCTTAATGGTTAAGCTCTCACACTCACAACTGTAAGGTCGTGGGTTCGAATCCCATCAGGTTCCCGACGTTGTGTCCTTGGGAAAGGCACTTTTCATGAATTTTCCTCACTTGACCCAGGTGGGAATGGGTACCCAACTATAGACAGTGAAAGATCTTGTCAGTTTGTTAGTGTTTGAGTGCTTAATCAACTGCTTGCACTGTATGCTTCCTGGACAGCTGAGAATGTTTCTGAGTGTTCTATGGTCTGCTGGGATAATAAAATCATAGTGTGTTAAGGGCATAGAGCTGGCTGTCGAGCGGTGATATGGGCTATAAAAAGTGCTATTTGTTATTATTATTACCTCTTACAGGTCCGCATCAACGCAGCGCTGGGTCTGGCTGCCCCTCCCACTAGGCGGGGCTATGGGTCATGTGACACGTTCAGCACTGTGTGGTTGAGTCTGGTCACAGCCCTGGAGACCGCGGAGAACATCAACGACTTTGCAGAATATAAGTACAAGGATACACTCACCGAACATGTGAGTACTGTCGCTGCTGATTTTAAGCACAGTCATTGGGAGAAAGCATAAGCGGGCTTAATGCCGAGACGTGCTTGAGTGCAAAGCAGACATAATCCATAGATTTTCAAAATTTCATGTAGAAAAATTTCTGACTTATTTCCCTTTGTTCGTAAGTTGTGGTAGCCAGCCTCACTTTCTCCTTTGTTCGTAAGTTGTGGTAGCCAGCCTCACTTTCTCGTCTCCCTAACTTTCTTTGTATTTTTTTTCATCTGTGCGCATCTCTCTGCCTTCCTCTCCGCGCATGTGTGTGTGTGTGTGTCTCAGTGCTTCCACTCTTCCGTATTTTTACGGAAATCCACACTTTCTTCCAGTTCCGTACTTGTTCCTCCATCATTATTAACTCCCTCCGTAAAAAGCTTCGACAGCGTAGGACTACCGAAAATCCGAAGCAAAAGATCCGTACTCGCCTTCGTATCGTCTAGTATTAGTATAAGTTACGGATATTTACGGTAATTCTCTTGGCAATAAGTTAATGTTATAGAAACCTGCCAAATTGCACATTTCCTACAATCGGCCATTATTCCGCTATGTCCCATAGATTCATTGTGGGCTTGTGGGCAGTACATTTTTACCTGTGGATTGATACAAATCTGGCGACCTTTTTTTGCCAATTTCCTCCTTTCTATCATTCACATATTCCATCTGTCTATCTTCGGATTGTTGCCGGGGGTGGAAAATCTGTGCGTTGATCAAGTAAATTGACTTGTGATCTTAAACAGAAAATTACTGTCAGTGGTCAGAAAGAAACTTTTTTACAAATTTGTCTAGAGAAATGATCGATACGAAGATTCGACGGCTCGTGAACGTGATAAGGGCCGCGATGAAAAAAATGTATTCTAAAACCAGCCTAAAACTGCTAAGTCAAGAATAATTCGAAGTGGTGTTCCGAGGTTGTGACGTGCGACATTCAGGCGTGAAATTTAAGGAAAATTAGGGTATACGCCGGGTAACTGTATTGTGAAGGTACATATCAATTCATTATTCCCAGGTTTGCGATGACAAATTAATTGAATTATAGTAGCAATGGAAGGGGAGCCTGCTTTTAAACATTGCCATTGATGGAAGTATATTATGTAGATCTTGGTGAAGAAATCAAACAAGACAAAATGTTGGTGAAAGAATAAATGTTATGGTTTGCAGGCAATCTCTTCAAACAGGCTCCCAAATGCCATTTTCAACCCTATAAAAACTCTAAATTTCAATTTCTTCAAGGGCTTCGCCCCCTGAACCCCCACCCGGACACTGTCCCTGGACCCTGCTGGGAGGCTCTCTGACCCCTGGCAGAATTTTCCTTACTTTTCAGCTTCAGCTGATGGAAGCACTGGTGTCTCCATCACTTGTGTTCTTTGTGTTTCTTTTAACACATTCACTGCTGCGGTGTAGACTGTGTACGCACTTGGATGGGTCATCATGAAAGTATTGACTGTCTTGTAAAGGAAGCGTGCAGGAAGCCGAAGTTACCGTGCTTAAAGGCGTGTAATTTATGTAGCAAAAAGTCGGTAAGAGCCGTTTAGCGTGATTGAGTCTGAAACATGTTTTGAACCGGCGTTTTTAAAGCTGGCACATACTGTAGTTTGATAGAACTGTCTTGCTACTGCTGTCTTTCTTGATAACAAATTAAAAAAAAAAAATGCTTAACTGTGCACTTCTGTGTTTTCATTTTAGAGCTGCAAAAAATACTGCTTTACTTTTTAATCACTATGAGTTGTTCGATTTCTGAAAGGGGCTTTTGTGGGAGGTTGGCGGGTGCTCTAGTGTGGTTTGCTCCTTCTTTTCTGTCAAACAACTATCATCTTTATCTCTCCTCTTGTAACACATCTAATCTTCAGCACTTATATGACCTAATTGTGTTGCAAGTGCCATAAAAAGCTTACTAAAACAAAAGAACAAGGCTTTTAATTTTGCTTTTCCTTACAAGAAACAGAGAGGACATTCTGTAGTTTTGTTTAGTTGAATTTTTATTGGATATCAGTTGAGTTTTCTCAAAATTAAAGATGTCTTTTAAAAAGCCCCAGAGAACATAATATGGTTTTGATTTTCTTACATAGTTTGTTTCTAATAGTTTTTTTTCAAGCTATACTTCTGTCCCATCAATTATCTGTATACTGAACATGTTGCATTTTTGAGAAATCAGTAGTTGAAATTTAATGCTTTTATAACTCTTATCGAAGACTGGATTTTTTGCTTTTGAGTAAAAATTGAGATTATGCCCGGCATGAACATCAGTGCAAACTCTGTGTCTACTTGTTCTCCCTCAGATTTGCAGTGCAGCGCTCCACGTGTTGTCCACCACTGAGGTGGCTGACCTGTCACCTTTGGCCTCGGCTGTCCACTCTAAGGGTCATGCCTTTCGGTCCTTTATGGAGAGATACAGCTCTCTGCTGGGCAGCAAAAAATGTGAGTTTGGGACATCTTGTTGTTTGGAGTTAAATCTTTTCTATAGTCTTTTCTCCGTTATGCTGAACGTTGTTTGAAGTCAAAATCTTTTCTGAAGTCTTCTCTGTGTCCCGTTTAACATTTAACACCTTGTTGTACCATTGATGTAATATTTGCACGGATCCTGTCTTCTTGGTCATTATCATCATTGCCCTTCTCACCCTGCACCAGGATATAGGCCACGGACAAACACTTTCCAACTTACTCTATCCTGGGCTAGCCTGTTGATGTTCTTCCATGTCTTCCCATATTTCTGTACATCAATTTCTGTGATTCTTCTCCAGGTTCCACACGGTCTTCCCCTTGATCTCTTACCCTGTGAATTCTGATCCAAAACTTTCTCTGTTATGCAGCTGCCTGATTTCCTGAGAGTGTGTCCAATCCCTTCTTGGTGTGTTGTGTGTGTGTAATATTGTACTTTAACTAACAAGTTTATAAGGAGCAGAACTGATACTGACTAGATCTCAGCTTGGCTCATGCTGCTCAGGTGCACTTACACACTTAGAGCTGCAGTCCAAAGGGTAAAAGTATATTTGCGCCCCCCCCCCCCAAAAAAAAAAAATTCGGAACCTACCAGGCTTAGTAAGGACATTTAGGATCTTCACTCTCGGTCACTCCACATTTGGGTAGTTGTAACATCATGTTCAAAAGACGTTTTTAAGAATTCAGCAATAGGGGAGGAGGGGAAGGGTGTCAAATTAACGGAGGGGGGGGTCCCAAATTAACTTTTTTATCTTCCAAAGTTCCTGCTGCTAATGAGTGAAGTTGTCTTATTTTAAATCTCGTTTTGTTTAGCTGTACCAGGCGCCGCGACTGCAGAGGACGTGCTTGCTCACCTATCGTCACTTCAGACACAAACCACGTCAGAGGAGCAGCGGAGATGTCTACAGGCATTGTTGCAGGCCTGTTCTCCCGATCCAGGTGAGGGTCTTGTTGGTGTGTATGGGTGGGTGGGG